GGGGGGGGGGGAGCAGAGGTATTTAAGCGCGCTAAAGGTAAAAGCAAGTAGAAGCAGTAAGGGAACAGGATAGTGTACTAGAGAGAGTTCTTAAGAGAGGGTTTAAGACGAAAAATAGAGGGCACAAAAGAGTGCAAAGAAAGAGAGCACAAGAGATGGGATGATGAGAGACAATTACTAAAGCAAAAAGGATCTATTTCAAATAGAGCAACTTGAATTTTCAAATTTACTTCACTTCTTTTGCAGAGTCAATATTTAGAATTCTCCTTCTTCATAATTGTTAAACCTCGAGATTTTTCCAATTTAACAGCCGTGGAACTGGTATAACTTCTCTAATATGATGATAAACTTTAAAGTACATATAGTGCTGAACAGTAAACTTCAATTCTATTTCCTAAAGTTAACCTACAATTAAGTATGCACTGCACACTGCGCACTGCTAACTCCCACACTATGAACCGACTTGTTCTTTTGATGATCTCCTCTCCCCTTCCAGGGGCGCAACTAGACATTCAGCTAGGTGGGGAGGGGCAAATGGCATCTATCTAGCTCGCAGCGCGATTTTTTTTTTGTCCCCTAAACATTTCTACGGAGTTGCAAGAAACATGTGTATTATACTCAACCATGAAAAAACTACCTTAACAATTCAGGATATTTTTTGGAAAAATTTTATATTTGCGGGCATTCATTAAGTTTGGAGAAAATTTGTGTCGGAAAAGTCTTAAACTTTAGATCAGAGTTTGGAGGGGCTTTTTCAGTTAGGTCAATTTTATGTATGGGAAATCTTAAATCTGTATTTTGGGGTCAATTTTTTTATTTAAGGGCATTTTTATGCTATAAATATATATATATAGGGGCATTTTTTTAAACTAAGGGTTTATTGTAAAACTTCAAAATTTTTGCAAAACTTCAAAAAATTTTGAGTATTATCTAAATAAAATATTTTTAGATAGGGCTATAACTTTTAAAGTTGGTTGAATTTATAAAACATTTGGGTATAAATAAAATTAAATTTTGGTGCAAATTAAAAATATTTGGTGGCATTCTAAAAAAAACAAGGGTTACAAATGTTGAATAAAGGGGCAAATTTAAGTCTGGTGGGGCAATTTGAATAAGAATGTGTAAGTGTAATTTAAAAAATCTAAATTTGGAGGCATTTTAAAAAAAGGAAGGAAATTAAAAAGAATTTGAGTTTAAATTGAAAAAATGTTATAATTGAATTTGAGTTTGTTTAAAGAGTGTAGATTTTAAAAAAAATTAATGCGGGGGTAAGCTTTTTTAAGGGGGTGGCATCCCCCTTAATCAGGCTAGGAGGGGCCTGGCTTTATTCCCCTTTTAGTTGCGCGCCTGCCTCTGGCCGAACACCCTGCATTATTCCATTTGTTAAAAATACCAATCATTTTTTCGATGTATAATTTAAATAAATTGAGACTTTAATAATAGTTCTGAACTTGTTGCAAACACCGCTACTTTTCTTATTAAGACTTTGTAATTGAGTTGTATACATAGTTTCTGTATGGAATTGATTTATACACATAGTTTCTGTATGGAATTGATTTATACACATAGTTTCTGTATGGAATTGATTTATACACATAGTGAGTGTAATTGAGTTATACACATAGTGAGTGTAATTGGGTTATACACACAGTGAATGGTAAATTTTACTCTTGTAGCAGAGCCCGCAAGAATTACATTGACAATTCCATTTGCATTAGATGTGCCAATTTTAGAAAACTTTGCTGCTACTAGTGATTTTGACCGTTTTCAATTGATCAAATATTTTTTTCAGGTTTGTTTGGAGTAATCTGGAAACTAGGATAGAATAAAATTTCCACGGAGAGATCAAGATTACCCAGGCCCCCTTGGGGGCCAAGGTTGGACCACTTGGTATCAAGACGGGGTTGCAAGGGGATCCACAAACCTGGTTTACGGTAACTAGAACTCACTAGCACCAGCAGTATGGCGGCTTCAAGCAGATATGGAATCTCACTCAAGCAACTCAGGGAGCTCATGGAGCACAGGGGGATGGAAGGAGTCCAACGGGTAGGTTTAAATCTAAATTTAGAGATAATACCAATTCGATAGTTCGGTATGTACCAGCTATTACGTTTATTGTTTAATGTATATTTATAAATTTCTTAACACGTTACAATAAATAATTAGACTTATTGAGTTAAAGAGTTAAAATGCAAAACGTCTAATTGTTGGATAAGAATGGAAATTTTTGAAGTTGTTAAATTATCTTTTTGAGAGTGGGAAACTAAGCTGACTGAAACGGAAAAGTCACCGAAAACATTTTAAGTTTGTTGTGTAGTTATGATTAATTCGGATTAATTTCGCAATAAAATTATTAGTGGTAATTTTTCTATTGTGAAATTATGACATACAGTGTGAATATTTACAAACTAATGCAAGCAGTGAGCGTAATATCTAAGGTAACAATTTAAGTTAAAAACATGATTTCTTTTTTAAATCAACCCTTTAATGAAAGTGTTACATAAAAAACCTGTTACATGTCCGATTTACTACTTGCATCTGAGCTTGAGAAAAGGGAAAAATCTTCCGATTTTCTTCCTTGTTTCTCCTTCATAAATTCGCTAGTCATGTTTATGGATAAACTTCAATTGAAATTTATCAATTTTTTAGATAAACAAAGATATTTCCGTCATTTTTGCCGAGACAAATTATTAAAGAGTACAGTTTTGAATTGTGTATTTAACTCTTATACTAGAAATCACATTGAATTTCGATGAAAGTCCCTTTAAGGTCTCCATGTATAATTTTGGTTTCAACAGATTTATTGGACAATGGACATAGACATAAACGTTTATGTGATGATAATGATTTTAAGGTATCTGAGTTCGGCGGAGTTCACGAGATAGCCAGGAAACTTAACACCTCGGAGCAAACTGGGTTGCCAGGGGATAACTCCGATCTTGAGCATAGACGGGACTACTTCGGATCCAACACAATACCACCCAAACCTGCTAAAACATTTCTCGCGGTAATACTGATTTGTAAAGTTGCTAAATATTTTACTTTTTAAACTTTACCTCTTCAATGGTCAAGCATACTTCTAACAAGCATTTCTTATATTTACGAATGAAAAATATTTAGTTGGTTTGGGAAGCTTTGCAGGACGTTACACTTATCATACTACAAATTGCAGCGGCGGTTTCTCTCGCTCTCTCTTTTTACAAACCCCCCAAGAATGAAGACGACCCTGGTGAGAAAATATCAGTTATACTAACATTTAATTTTTATTCAAACTCAAGTTTGATTACACAGCATCAATTTTTTTTTTATCGGGCTTATTATTTCAACCTTTAGACCGTACAAATACAAGTGTTACTGTTTGAAGATATGAAAGTTTTATAACTTAATTCTTATTGTTTGATTAGCTGTAAATACGTTTCTCATTATGCGTTTTTATCGTTGAGATGACGTATACTTCAACATTTGATGTGTTTATTTAAGCCAGAACTACATTTTTTCAGATAAACATACAGTAGCCCTGAGATGGAATTTAAAGAAAGAATTTAAACCATAGACCATAGATGTTTCAAACTATTAATTCTGAGGCTGAATTTAAAGAATTTGAGCCGCGGCTTAAATTTGAAACGCGGCTCAAATATGGTTGTTTACTTTTAAAATTGTATTCAATGTTTTAAGATGTAAGCCGGCGCTCAATTAAAACCTGTTTTTGGCGGATTTGAGACGTGCCACAAATTCATTAAATTCGGACTCTGATATATCAAATAATCAAAGTTTACAATATCAAAGGTTTACACTATCAGAGATGGAATTTAAAGAATTTGAGCCGCGGTTTAAATCTGTCAAAACCCGGTTTAAATTAAGCGCCGGCTTAAATCTTGAAACATTTGATACTATTTTAAGTGGAACCAACCATATTTAAGCCACGGCTTAAATTTAAACCGCCGCTCAAATTCTTTAAATTCGGCCACTGTACAATTTTCGATAGAAGGTTCCTATACTTTTAGTAGTAAAGCAAATTTTAGACCGCACAACCCCCACAACCCTAGCTTAATCCTGAATTTAGATTACTTACCGACGTTTATTAGCATGTCTAAATACTGACAGCTTACCTTGTTATATGAATATTATAATGAACAATTCATATTTCAAGCTGAAGAGGAAAACCATGCAGACTGGATTGAGGGACTTGCAATTCTACTTGCAGTTGTCATCGTCGTACTTGTTACTGCCTTTAATGACTGGAGCAAAGAAAAACAATTTCGTGGGTTACAAGTAAGGTTTTATAATTTATATTATTATTATTAAAGTTTATTTCGTATACAATATGTTAGGTAAAAAGATTCTACAAACTCTAATGATTCTTGAAGTTACTTTTTCTTTCCATTCTAAGGAAAGTGCCAATGGCAATTTTTCTTGTTAGTTCTTGAGTTCCGTATTTTAATCTTAAAATTAATTCCGAGTTATCTTGAACAAATATGTAAATGTGACATGTGAAGTCTTCAGACAATTATCACAGGGATTTTGATTTTGTAGTTCTTATAAACCTAACATTTAATTACAGGATAGGATTGAGGGAGAACAAACCTTTTCTGTGATAAGGAACTCATCAGCTGTTCAAGTTCAAGTTGGAGAACTAGTAGTCGGGGATATAATTCTAGTAAGCTTCATGTTTAAATCAAAAATATTCCTTAAATTTGACAAATTTTCACTAATTTGAAAGAAAGAAAGAAACCAGATGAAAATTGTCATAGGCAAAAGTTTTAAAATGATTAAAAATAAAAAGAGTAAATCACTCGCCACAAACTCTATACCTTTTTAATACCTATATTTTGCCAACCTGAGTCTAAAACTAGTTTTAGAGATAGTTAAAACCTTGAAATTTTTAGCTTTGAATATTATTTTGATTCAGCAGAATTCTTATTTTTAAATATCAAAGTTGCAAAGATATAGAGATTAGAAATTTAAAGATTGTGGTAAGTGTAACAAGAACTATGACATGGTGTGTGCAGACGTGTAAGCACCCTGTTTAATTGCATCGACCATCATATATTTTATTTAATACAAATTGTAAAAAAAACGTTAAAAAATAGATTTTGGTAAGTAATTAGTTCTTATGCGTTTTTTGCAAGAAAAAGTTTGATTTGTTTTTTAGAGTAAAAAATCATCTAAAATAATAGGAATCAGGAATTTTCTTAAATACTATTATAATTGCTTAGGTTAAATACGGAGACTTGCTACCTGCCGACGGTCTAGTTATTCAGAGCAATGATCTAAAAGTAAGTAAAAATAATTTTGAGTTGTAGAATATTTTATAAGGATTTCAATCATTAATTTCTTGTACAAAAAAGTAAAACTTTTATTTTCTTGGAATAAAAAAATTATGGTCGCGTGAAACCAATTCTAATGGAAACATTTAACTTAGATCAGGGGGGTGGCCTAGTACTGGAGAGGTGTTAAATTTTTATTTTTAGGTTGATGAGAGTAGTTTAACAGGGGAGTCGGACCAAGTAAAGAAAGGTGTGTCTTGTGATCCCATGGTTCTCTCCGGAACCCATGTTATGGAAGGAAGTGGGAAGGTTCTGGTTTCTGCTGTGGGAGTCAACTCACAGGTAAACGAGCAGGGACAGTCCTTTATTCTTGGATGTATTTTAATCATCTAGGAACAGAAATATAGCTTAAATCGTTATCTCCGATGTTGCCTAATTTATTGTATTTACAATTCACACAAAAAAGCAAATAAACTGTATTCTTTCTTTATTTACTAAAAGTATGTTTTAATTTTTTTATCTTTAAAAAAACCGAAAACTTGAATTTTGATTTAAATAAGTTTATATCACAATTAAATAACTATTAATTTCTCAATACAATAGTACGAGTGGGACAAATTTCGTGAAGAAAAAAAACTGTCATAAACTAAAATTATTTTAAGTTCAAATGTATTAGAACAGGTTGGGATCTCCAATTTCATTTTTATCTATGAGACTGTGAACCTCTGACAGACATGGATTTATTATTCCGGCCTCGGTGGACATAAAGATCCCATATTCACAAATATCAATACATCTTTTCCCCCGGAAACTTGGAGATATTCGAATATATTCTAATTCAGGGGAAGGAAGACGAATTTAAAATATAAATAGGCTTAAATTGTCCTCATGGACTTTCCTGGGGTTAAGTGAATTAATAAAAAAAAATTGGGCCTTCTCGGTTTAGCCGTTTTGACGTTTATTGGTTAAAACCCTACAGAATAACCGCTAGTAAACCCTAGTATATATAATACTAGCTTTGTGCCCTTTTATAGAAACCATTTTATTATTTAATATAAGTTACTTTTGAAAGTCGTGATTTCCTCGTGATAAAGAACTATACAAAATATATTAATACAATCTAAGGATCTTACCTTAACTAATTTACAGTTCCCAGCCACCATGTCAGCTCTGCAGTAACTTTAATGTCTGATTTGATTGTAAAAAAAATTTCTGCAGAGAACAAAATTGTTTAATCTAAAATATCTCGAGTTAATACAAAATCTGGAGGTTGTAGATTGTATTATTAATAATATCCAATAATTCTACACAACCTTAAGATTTGTTAGTTACCCTAATTACAGGGGAAGAAAGTTCCAAACTGTGCTTATGTTCCAAACCTGACACTGAGTGTCAGGTTTGGGCAGAATAATATGATCAACGTTGTAGTAACTCTCCCTGTCTCGAGTTCAAATATCAAATAAAGAAAGTATTTCCAACATATTATTAAGCACAACGAGAACTACAGATAACACTATTTACTACTTTTCTAAAATTAAAATTGTGAGCAGTCGAATTCAAGGTTTTCCATTTTCTCACACTTCACGAATTCAAATCTTAGACGCGTTTTGGAACATAAAAACCATCTTACGTAACAATCCATATAAACCATCTTACGTAACAATCCATATAAATCATCTTACGTAACAATCCATAATTTGATAATGTTCAACAATTCAGAACAAAACTCACTTTCATAATTTACAGAATAGCACGAATCACTGAAAATATTTTTATCAAATTATTCTAAACTTTGTTTCCACGTTATAGTTTTAAGTACGGAGAGTGCAGATGATTTCAAGTTTCCTGAATTTTTAATATTAAATTTCCCGCATTTTTTTGTTCAATTTAATTGTAAGAAATCAAAAAGTTAACTAAATAAGTTTTAAGTCGTCATATTTTTAAATATCAGAACATAATAATGCATTATTTACATTTTTATTGTTTCATTATTTAAATTCTATTGTATGCGAAAAACTTGTTTTGTTACCAAATTGTGTAAATGCTTGAAAATATCATTGATTTAAATCTGTAAAATGTCTAAAAATCGCGACATGTTCCAAAACGTGGTTTGCGCCGAAAATTTGCATTTGCTTCAAAAAATATTATATGTTCTAAAATGAAATCAATTATCATAAAAAATTGAAATTTATTTACTTGTAAGGGTTTGGTACCTAAATTTTTGTTTTCAAAATGTAGCCTTAACTAGTATGCAGACAGTTTTTACTTATCGACTTAAATTGACTATTATAAACAAATAAAAAAGATAACTTTTCTCATTTGGCTCAAACCTGACACTGTGTCAGATCTGGGCCAAATGACGGTTTGTAACTTTCTTCCCCTGAATTATGAGTTTATATTTAACGGCATATTATGGTTCAGGCTGGGATTATATTTACTCTCCTTGGAGCAGCTGCAGACGAGGTCGAAGAGGAAGAGAAAAAGAAGAAGAAGCTTGGTTCGTGTTATTTTATAATAAAAAAAAAGTTTCCACTGAATTACATTTGAATACATATTCTGACGTCTGTCCTAACTTAGGCGTGTATTTGATCGTGTGCCCCATGTATAATAAATATTAATGGAAAAGGGGGATGTAATCAAACGAATTGGGTTGATTTAAATGTAATCACATTTCTTCCCTGGAAATATTTTTTATCTTGAAATTCTTTTATTTTGAATTCATTTTTGAAAATAATAATACTGATCTTTAGATGAACTTACTTTTAGATAAGAAGAGTAAAGGTCGAGATCCTAATCAAAATAATGCTAACCAATTGGGGAATTCAAGTGAGTAAGAGACACTATTTTTATCGTTATCCAATCTTCATTTTATTTTCCTATATATTCCATCCACTTTTCTTATTTTTTATGTTAACAATATTATTTTTTTTTGTTATTTTATATTCTTTTGTTCTACCCTTTGAACTTAGATTTAGCACTATAATTTTCCTTCTTTTATTTGATGAATGCCTGGCCAACCCTGAAGAAACCATTGATGTGCAGAGTATTTCATTTAATATATTATATCATATCTATTTAGTTTCATAGAAAAGTAATTAGCATAATTATTACCTTCCATGTTAACGATTTAACTTTGTATTTGTTTTTGGTTTACATCATGTAATTTGTACAATGCACATTGTGCACAATTACATCAAACTGATATATTTCCCTCGCTACTTTTCATTCTTTAATTAAGCATAAATAAATAAAAAAACATTTTCTTGCGATTACTAAGACTGTAGATTAATTTTTTATTTCAGTTGTGTCTTTTCCTCTCATATTTCTTTAATTTTCTTGTTTTAGATAAAAAATACATGAATAAATTTGAATATTTCCAGTAAAATGCAACCCAAAATTTATATGCAATTTGTGGGGTTTTTTTATCTGAAAATAAATTAATTAAAATTTTGTTGTAGTTGATATCGAGGAAGGGGTTGGAAACTCTCATCCATCACACGCTGCCGAGTCAGGTGGAGGGGGTGGAGGAGAAGTTGAAGGAGAGAAATCAGTCCTTCAGGCTAAGCTTACCAATCTGGCGATTCAAATCGGATACGGCGGGATGGCTGTATCTCTTGTTACCGTTATTATTCTCTCTATCAGATTCTCAGTAGATGAGTTTGTGTATAAGGTAAGGTTTACTAATCAAAACTTCAAGTAGATACCTATATCCCGAGAGGATTATGCTTTCATAATTGATATTTCAGGAAGCTGTTTGGAGCATGTATTACATCAATTTCTACGTCAAGTTTATTATTATTGGTGTTACCGTGTTGGTAGTAGCTGTCCCTGAAGGATTACCCCTGGCGGTCACTTTATCGCTAGCTTACAGCGTCAAGAAAATGATGGCAGACAACAACTTGGTTAGACATCTAGATGCCTGTGAAACCATGGGTATGTGTATATACGCCATTTTTTTATCCTCCTAGATTTTTCCTTGAAGTGTCTGTAGACGTTATTTCAAGTGACACTTTTTGTAGATTGCCATGTCCGATTCACAACGTTATACTTTAAATCTGAACAATAATCACATAAAATAAATATTTGTATTTTCAAAACGAGGCAGAATGTTCGTTTTTTTTCGGCCAATATGTGAAGGTATTTGTAGGGAGTACTGATTCTACACTCCAGTTTCCCGGTTTAGTTGGTAATTAAGCAATTTTTAAGGAGAAACACACTGATTTCTCTGCCGTCGTCGATTATCTGTCAAAGGTTTAAAGGGTATATCGGACATGACACTCGATAATGGAAGGTCACTTGAAATTACGTTGGAATAAATGTTTATATAATTCACTGTAACCCACCATAGATCTAAATAATAAATGTTTCTGTTGTATCTAAGACATTTTTTTGTAGGAAATGCAACTACTATATGCTCCGACAAAACAGGAACTCTAACCACTAACAGGATGACCGTTGTTCAAGCATTCATCTGCGATCAACATTTTAAGGTAGGATTGAATGTTGAATATTGTATTTATGTACTAAACAAAGAGGATTTCTTTGAAAAATTACTTTCAATTTATTTCACCTTTATATAAATATTCTGTTCCTTAATAGAAACTAAACGAGTTTTTGGTTTAAGAATATTAATTTGACAATTAAAACTATAGACTTGATTGTTTATTTTTATTATATATAGTTTTTTACTTTCTAACCAAAAGATGAAATGATACTAAACCCTTAAGTAAATGTTTATTTCATAACCTTAAACTTTTTTAATCATAGCACATGGATTTATATTCACAACGGCTTCATCAAGTATATTTTCCCGTTTAGTCCCCTTAGTATCTACAATATTTACTGTGCGTGCTGAAAATGTTTGTGAAAAAAAAACAATAAGATTGGACAGTTTTTCAATTTTATTGATTAAACATGTTCATAACTAAGGTTTCTATTACTATTACTCTCTCACTTACTCGCTCATTCATTCACTTAATCACTCATCCTGTTTCCTTTTTTCATCCCTCAACATTACTCTTTTTTTTAACTTCGCTCACTGACATCATTGACTGTGCTTATATTCACTCAAGTTTTGTTCTGACTGAATCCATTTTAAGCTTTTCTTTCTATTGTAGCCGGACCGGAACTCTCTACCTAAGCTCCGAGATCTCCCACCTCAAGTTGGTGTGATCATCACCCAGGGAGTGGCAATCAACTCTTCATATTCCTCTGATGTCAAGGTAAAGTTAATGCATTGTCTTGTATTGTGTTTTTTTGTGTTTTCGTATATTAGTGCTATCATATCTGTAATGCATTAAATGTAAGATATACAGCAAGCTCAGAGAGGGGGGTGTATATTGTTCAGAATTTGTCCAGTTTAGTTTTTTTTTTGGGGGGGGGGGGAGCAGATAGGTTGAAAAAGATATTTTGAGGGTCATTTTCGTCCTTTTTTTTACAAAACATGATTGGGATTAGGAGATGGTTGGTTTTTGTATTTATTTCATGTTTTAACTTCATTAGACTGTATATATAATGTTTGTGTCTCTTATATTTATTATTGGGGGTGTAAAGTATGCTTCTAAAATTAATCTAGGTTAATACGAAATAAATTTTATAATACAAATTCGTTCTTTAAAAAACTTCTTTTTCATCAATTTCTGATATCGTTTTTATTTTTTTTTGGTTCTAATACAATTTTTTTATCCTATAAGTTTTACAAAATGTAAGATAAAAGATAAGAATAATAGTCATGAATCAATTCCTAGNGGGGGGGTGTAGTCATATCTTAGAAACTATTTTATGGAAATATAAAAAGTGGATTGAAAAATTATATTAACATTTAGTTGGTATCTGTTTGCCTCAATGGCTTGAGAAAGACGATTCATATTCATTCCTCTAATTCCTCACCAGATGATCAAATATAAAAATTCTTGTTTACCCCTGTTATCCCGAGGAATCGCACATTTTAATAGTACAAATATTTCTATCATGAGGGAAAACACAAGTGTTTAAAATATCTGGCAAAATTTGAATGCTAGAAACAGAACAATAGCTCTTTAAGAAAACTTAATGGCAAAATCAATAAATTTTATGGACATATTTGAAAATATGATTAGTATTACAGTATAAAAAACTTACATTTGTCACATAGTTTCAGTACCATTTGGAGTATTCATTATTAAGTTCAATCTTGCAGTATTCATTGTTATTAAGTGCGATTTGTTCTTATCACGCAAATACATTGTAATCAATTAGTGACATCCCGATACTATGAAATGGCATGCTTACAGAATAGGCGGTGCTGATTACTGCTTATTGTAGGATATATTTTTTAAATGTTATCACATTTTTTTCAGCATATTTTTAAATGTTTAAAGAGAACTTAGAACTCGCTTTGATCGTTAAGAATTATAGATACAGTTTAGGAAAGATAAAACATAACTTAAAAAAATTAACACGTTACTGTTTTCAAACATAGTTCGGAGAAAATAATTTTTATGTGAAAATATATACCCCTGACTGTGTACATAATGTTAATATTTGTAATATCTGTGCTGGCTATGTTATAAACCTGGGTTCTAGTACGTTGATCAGGATTTTTTTTATCCCCTTCCATGATTAGAAACACAGACAAAGAGTCTGTGTTTCTAATTAGATAATTTTCTGATTAAAGTTATAGTTGCCGTTTAGATTGGTTTAATTGGCTATGGAAATGGGTTAACTATTAGTTGCAGCTGATGCTGAAGCGTGATTTAATCAAGTTGATATAAATTAAGACATTCCTTGTAGGTTTCAAGTTCTACACAGTATGTGGAAATATCTACCCAAAGTGGAAATACTTCAAAAAATAGTAGTGGCGCTATTCGCTGGGAGCAGGGAACCTGTAATAAAAGTTTCAAAGACGAAGCACAGAAAATCGGGCAGAAAAATTCCTGTTCTAACGGACAAAAAGTTGAGTTTTGCACTCGCATTGTATATTTCAAATTACTAGATGAAAAAAGTAGGTTTAAGTAGTCTTTGAGCACTGTGCACTGGGTATATATTTAAGTATTCGAAATTAGTACAAGTTCCAACTAAATGTTGGCCGGAAAAGGAAAAAAATGTGTTACTTTTTATACGAAAGTCGTCTTCACTTTAAAACAAAATATAGCACGTGTTTGGAATGACATTTTGATTTACACACACAACATAAAATCTAATTCAAGACAAATTAACTTTTTTGATCATCATGCTATCACCCTTCTAAAAGTTAATTTTCAAGGCATAACGAAGTCGCCGTGCACGCTATAGGGGTATATATATTTTTCCATAGAATCATTTCCACCCAGTTCACAAAATATTTTGTAATTACTAAAATAAAATGTGGAGTAAAACAACATGTCCATTTTCAGGCCCTGCTGTCAATAAAAATCAAATTTATTAAACTTCATGAAATTTTAATTTACTTGAAATTTTGAGGTTGTCAACATTCTCTTTGACATAATTTATTTTGATCTTGTTAGAACAATTAAGCTTGAAGAATACCAAACTAACTTAATTAATTTATTATTACAAAAATCACGAGGATGTACACCAACAGTCTTGTATAGCTTGCGTTACATTGAATTAATCATAAAAGAAAATCGAAGTATGACATAAAAAATCTTAATTAATTTGTTAAGCACTCTTAAAAAAGAAAATGGTCACATTACGCTTTGAATGTCTGAACCTTGTTTTACAATATAATAGATAAAACAAGAAATCACATTAGCCCATTATTACTTTAACAGTCAGTGTAAGCAATGTGCATACATTGTATATAGAACAAGACTTGATTCTAGAACATTAGAAACAACGAAACTCACATTTACCGGGGATATTAGATATTGTCCCGAACTTGATTGACTTGAAATAAATAGTCTATTTTTCTGTGCTTCAATGTTTTATACGTTTGATAAATCTACACATCAGGAAATGATTTTGTTGGAATATATATAACTCCTAGTTTGCATATTTTGATTTAAATGATTTTTAAGAATAAGCAGCATAAAAACTTATCTAAATTATTCGTCAAGCAAAACATTGTTTGGTATTTCGCATTAATGCACCTTATTTGGAAAAAAATATTTGAAGTGAGATGACTTTCAGCTTAAGATATAGGAAGATTGTACCATTTTTAGACCTAAATAAATACCTAAATGAACAGTATGATATGGTTTAGTTTTAGCAATACGTGTTTGTGTGGTCTTAATTATATCTATCTTGCTTGAAACCATTATATTATGTTTCAACTTTCAGCTATAGCTTATTCATTAGACATTATAAGTATGACCTGAAAGTCCTAGTTGTAGAAACTAAATAGTGCGTATTGTTTCAAGAAACTCTTACATTTTTCTTTTGAAAGTCAAATAGAGATTCAAATATAAGCATTTAGAAAATTAATCCTTTTTCTGAGATTAATGATATTGAGAACATTTTAAAACTTGCATTAGATTTTCATGCACCTTTTTAAAGACAATTTATACAGGCGACATCTTAAATTGTCCTTTAAAATTTTCAGAACACCTTTATGTCAAAATTTTGGTGTCCTGAAAATTTTAATTGCATTCCAGTATAAGAACTTGGGCATGGGCAATTTCTTGCATGAGCTTTTCCTAGATTTTTGTGGCATGCAGGTCCTGCATTACAGGGCAATGTCAGCATTTTATGAATACATTACTCTTAAATCTCTATTAAATTGGGTTTTTTGGTCTCCATTACAAAAAAAATTGCACATGTCCATAGGCAGGCGTATTTTCTTTTCAATGTGAAATAAAAAAGAATATTTACATTGTGTCTATCTGGAGTTTAAACATTGTTTTCTAAACTTGCTCCCATCAAAACAAACGCTTAAACCTTTATTTCGACAAAACAGAAACAAAGAGAAATTCTTGAGTATAATTGTACGATTAGAATGTGGAATAAAGAAGAATTTTCATTTAACAAAGCACAAAGCAAATCCACTTCAATTAACTCTTTCGTTTGCGAGCTCATTGTTAAGTGAATAAACTAACATGATATTATCAAAATCATTTTCTATAAATATAATACATATATTCAAAGGATAAACGCATAGAGAATAGAATATATAGAGAGGAATTAACTAGAAAAAAGTGTAAAACGGCCATTTTGTTGTACTGTTTCCATACTGCAGGTGTACTTCACATATTTATGCTATATAACCTATATAATCATTTTATAGAAAATCTAAAGTTATTGTTAAAAGAAAACAAAATTATGAAATAGGCTGGTTTCATAATTGACCAATGATCATTTCACATAGACTCTATGCCTTCCACTTTACAAACGATGATTTTCCGTTATAACTATAAATCAAATGATGTTTTTATTCACCTAATTCATTATAAAGTTTATTTAACAGTTTAAAAAATTCGAAATTGAAATGGATAGTCTAGGGAACATAATGTATTAATGTACTCTACTGCATATAATTTGTGAACATTTACATGATTTGTACACTTTCAACTCCCCTTCAGGCTGAAAGGGACAGAAAAAAATCATACCGAGAGATTCTTTTAATTCCTCTCTATATACAGGGTGTCCCACGAAACATGACAATAGGAAGACGACTTGAAAGTCGTCTTTGGTATTTGAATTTATTTGTGACATTTAGTCTTCTATCTACTTTAACATGTATGATTCTTGAAACATTTATCACATAATTCTCCTAGCCCTGGCAAAAAGTGGTCTGCGTTTTTTGTGCTTTCAATATTACCGGAGATATAAAGAGTTTGGTTCAGATTTCAATTTTGTTGAATAAAAGCAAAATTGTCCAAATCTGAACGAAATTCTTCATATCTCGGGCAATATTGAAAGCACAAAAAAGGCAGACCACATTTTGGAAATGGCAGGACAAGGGAAATTTTGTGATTATTATCTCTAGAAATTTACTTCTAAAATTTGGTTGACAAATAAACGCAGCATATTAGATCAAAAATCAAGACGACATTCAAGTCGTCCTGCATACTGTCATGTTTCGTGGGACACCCTGTATATCCTATTCTCTATGGATAAACGTCATCAAAATATAGGATATATGTCCTGAAAAACTTAGTTATACGTCCACATAATATAAAATGTCCTCAGAATATCGGATATACGTCCACAAAATATCTTTAAAATAGCAGATGTATTTTTGAAAAATATCGGATATATGTCCTGGAAATATCAGTTTTACGTAAAATATAAAATGTCCTCAGAATATCGGACGTATGTCCTGAAAATCTCTTTAAAATAGCAGATTTGTATCTTCAAAATATCGGATATATGTCCTGAAAATATTAGGTTCGCGAAATATCCGATGTCTAAAAAATATGGATATATTTGCTCGAAATATGATATTTATTTCCTTTAGGTATTAGATTTATGTTACGTTTATGTTATTTTAGCTATTTATTTACTATACCCGAGGATTTATCAGGCAGAACTTTACCTGGAATCTACTTTCCCGAGTATTCTTGAGACGTTTTTGATAAAATTTCTAAAATCAAACATGTAGATCTTGAAATTCCGAAAAGTTGAATAACCTGATATAAATGTTAAATACAGCTTTAGTTTCTTAATCTTTTGTAATATGTCAGTTGTTAAATTAAAAACAATTAAGCAATGTACATTTTAAAATGAACCACAGTTATGCCGGGTATAATTGGATAAACATTTAAACAACGAAAATATTAAACCAATCACAACTGACGGAGATATATCATTCTTATTCTTGTTATAGAGACCCTACATACACCTTAACATTTTAGAAGGAACAAATAAGTTAATTCATTAGAGAAGTAAGGATTGCTTGCCTAACAAAACGTGCCACTAAGCAATGTGCATGAGCTATTGATATTTGTATGGCTTCATTTACTTAAATAAAGATGTGATCTAAACCCCAAATATATTTTGAATCAACATTTTTGGTTGCAACTTTTGAATGGTTAATAGCAGTAGTTCTAATTAAATTTGTAATATGTAAATCTTAATTAGCAAAAGTAAATTCCAAGGCTTGAATATATAATCATTTTTAAATGTATTCAGAAGTTTTAGGAAAATTAGTTTTTGTTTTGTTTTTACAATTATGAATTTTAAACTAGTTAATCGTGTTCTGCAAGCCGCGACTAAATTTTTTTCTCCATTATTTCATATTCTATATCTAGGACGTAGATATTTAATACGACAGCCTGTATATTAATTTTATTCTATGCCTACGTATGAATTTTCATTGATTTATTTGATTTTGATTTGTACTCATTATTTTGAATAAAGGACATGTGCTTGGAGATGTGCGTAATAGAGAGTTATACATATTTGTTCTTTTGTAGGTCGAGGCCGGTAGCTTGCCCACACAGATCGGTAATAAAACGGAGTGTGCTCTTCTTGGGTTCGTTATTGATCTCGGAGTCGATTATAGACAGGTAACCTATTCCTTTTTTCTCTTTTTTTCTGCTTAATTTCCAATGTTTGAAACTTGTTATGTGTAGTTGAGGCGAGATATGCCGGATACTAGGTTCAAGAAGGTCTACACCTTCAATTCGGCCAGAAAATCGATGAGCACAATAATCCCTCTCGACTCCGGCGGGTTCAGGGTCTACACCAAGGGAGCATCAGAGATAATCATGAAAAAGTGCAGTTTTCTGGTCGGCGAGGGAGGAAAGATAGAAGCGTTTACAGCAGCACATCAGGATAGACTGGTTCAGACGGTGATCGAACCGATGGCCAAGGATGGACTGCGTACCATTTCCCTGGCCTATAGAGACTTTGTTCCAGGGAAGGCTGAGAGAAACCAGGTTCACTATGACCCAGGAACAGGTAATGAAAATATATGAAATTTTCAATATTTTTTAATTGAATCAGTTGCAATCTTTAATTGAAACCTCCAGAAAAACTGGACGTTTTTTTAAATATCGTAATAAAAATTTACGTTTTAGAGCCTAACTTTGAAACGATGGGAGAAGATAATGTCATTGCTAATATGACGTGTGTATGCATTGTTGGTATAGAGGTAGGTCTAATATAGTCATTATAATTTTAATTTATTATAATTCTTGATTCTTTAAAACGAAACTTTTGTATATTCAACCCCTGAATTCTACGCTCTATATGGCTCGTCAATTCATTCTGAGACACTGATTACTTCATTAAAGAACTAGAGTTAAGCAATATTCAGTAAGGCTTTACCCCTCAATTTAAAAGTAAGTGCAGTGGCAACTGAGTTCAGATGCTGAAGGTAAGCGCTAGGGGGATGATTGTTCTCTACCTGTGTGCTTAGTTAGCTGTACTGTACACTTACAACTGTTTACTAATATTGAAATACTACAGGTTAGGCCTGAATCTCCTTATAATAATAAACAAATATGCTATAAAATTAGTACAGGATTAGCGTACATCATCACTCAATACTCCATAACCTCGTTGGTAAGCGCTAATTCGTACAAATGTTTCAAAGGGGTTTATGTACAGCTAGGGTTATGTACGGTAAATAGATATTGGAAATTTTTAATGCTAAATGTCGAAATGGAAATTTCTGAAAACATCACGCAATCTTGAGGTATTCAATTCAGATACACAAAAGGAAAAAGTGTCTTGTGTATTATGTTTTAAGTTGGCTTTAGTTAACTAGGTTTTTAGGGCGCTTCGAGCCCATCTTCTATTTCAACTTTAAATTGGGGCGTTATCTGTGAGCATCTTCTCTTTGTACAGTAAAAAAAAATAATAAAAAAGTTTGCGAATTTCATAAAATTTTTTCGCGCATTTTCAAAATTTTACAAAAATAAAAAACTTCTAAACACAATTTTTTAAAGTTTTAATCATTCATAAACCTTTTCTGTGGTCACGTGATGTCCCACACAAAATTTTGGCCCGATCGGTTCAGCCGTTTTGACGTTTATTGGATACAAACAAAAAGACACCCAGACAAGGTAAATTTGTATATAGAAAGTAATCTAGTTGAAATATATGCGCAAAAAGGCAGATACCAAGATCAAGAAATCTTAAACTTTTAAAAAGGAACCAAGAACAAGCACTCATTTAATTTGTATCGTTCTAAATTTTAAATTTAATGTGAAGATAAACTGTCAGTTGTCATCATAACACCATGGAAAGCATTTTAGGTTCAAAAATACCTGAAGTATCTGAGTCTGACGTTTTTATGTTGCAGGATCCTGTACGAGATGAGGTTCCTGATGCTATTAAGAGATGCCAGAGAGCCGGGATAACAGTTCGGATGGTTACCGGAGATAATATAAATACTGCAAGAGCAATCGCCACCAAATGCGGAATAATAAAACCCGGGGATAATTTCTTAGTTCTGGATGGGAAAGAGTTTAACAAGAAAATTCGAGACCCTCATACCAGTGAGGTAAGGGGTACACTTTTTGAATAACCTAAAAATAATTTTCTCATTTTTTTAAATTTCATATTTTTAAGGTCAGGCAAGATTTATTGGACAAGGTCTGGCCCCGGCTTAGAGTGCTGGCCCGCTCCCAGCCTATCGATAAATATACCCTGGTCAAGGGTATCATTGACAGCAACATTTCTAATGCCAGGGAAGTCGTAGCTGTCACTGGGGACGGTACCAATGATGCTCCTGCACTAAAAAAGGCTGATGTAGGGTTTGCGATGGGGATAGCTGGAACCGATGTGGCAAAGGAAGCCTCAGATATTATTCTGACAGACGATAATTTTACAAGTATAGTCAAGGCAGTTATGTGGGGAAGAAACGTGTACGACTCCATTTCCAAGTTTTTGCAGTTTCAACTTACTGTCAACGTTGTTGCAGTTGTTGTTGCCTTTGTTGGAGCTTGCGCAATACAGGACAGTCCTCTCAAAGTAAGTCAAGCCTTTGCCTGATATCAGATGTTTACTATTTTATGTGAGCAAAGTGAATAGTTGTTGTTTATTTTTAATTACGACTAAATAAGACTCTTTTATAAATAATTTGGATTTTATAAAACATTGAATTAAATAGAGTTTGAATTGTTAAATTATGAAACATAAGAAAATTTACCATTTCATTATTATTCATTATATACTTAAACAGGCTGTTCAAATGCTGTGGGTAAACCTAATTATGGACACACTTGCAAGTCTTGCTCTTGCCACAGAGCTACCTACTCCTGATCTCCTTCTCAGGAAACCATACGGGAGGACATCTCCTCTCATCTCCGCCACAATGGCTAAGAATATCCTGGGGCAGGCGATATATCAGCTCGTAGTCGTCTTCGGAATAATGTTTTTCGGAGAGAAATTATTTGATATTGACAGCGGTAGATATGCAGGTACACTTCTCAACTAAACCCCTATCAATTATTTCCACAAAACTTAAAAACAATGTAGTTCACTATAGAAACCCCCCTCTCCCCCCTCGCTATGCTAAAATATGAGTGACTTATGGCAGACAGTTAAGATGTATGAATTAATTTTTAAACCACTGTGGTTTTCTCATAAAATTAGTAATATTTGTTTTTAAACTCAAACTGTATTTTTTAAAGTAAGCAGTAAGAATAAGCCTTAATCAAGTAAATAATTAAGTAAACCGTTTCCCCAAAGAGTTCACTCTACTTGAAAAACGATTATCAAGCGGGTATATTTCTAGAGAACGATTTTTGGACCCCTGGTCCAAAAATCGTTCACTAGGACAGACCCATCAAGCGTCCATTGTCTACTTAAATTTTAACTTTTTTATATTTAGATCTGCGTGCTCCACCCTCCGAGCATTTTACCCTGATTTTCAATGCTTTCGTGATGATGACTCTATTCAACGAAATCAACGCCAGGAAGATTCATGGACAAAGGAACGTATTTAGCGGAGTTTTCACCAATCCTATTTATTATGTTATATGGATTGCAACATTCCTTTCTCAGGTGAGACAAGCCAACATTTATATTGAAAGTAGTTGCATAAACAGTGTTTAAATCTCTTATTAAATGTCCTGTCCGATGTATATATGATATATCCTATCTATGCAATGTCCAACACCGTTGTATATGTAAAGTATTAAACTAGTCCGCCATAGCACGTGAATAAACTACACATCTCCTAACTTTAAATGAGACAGTTCTAAATACCAAATAGATTCTAGTACAAAAGATGGCAAAGAAGAATTTGTACACTCTCAGTATAGCTGTATTCTGACGTCACAAGTGTCAATTTAGTTTTTGTGTATGACAAAATTATTAATGATAGTGCTTTTCTTACAGTAAAATAAGTGAAATTTTATGTGTTCTTTATTTTCTGTTTCTTCTATATTTTATCTTGGAAAGCATATCAACTAAATTAAGAAAATTTCGTTTTCCTTGACTTGTGACGTCTTGTATATTTGGTCCATTTCTCTATTGCCACCTTTTGTTCTTGATAATCTATTTGCCTAAATACAGTTTAGTAAAGTTTTAGTCCTGATATTCTTTCTGCTCACCTCTTTGTTGTATGGTGGACCGGATTGATTCCTAATCTACATGTATTTGCTCTGTGCACTTACTGTCGCTGATCAGTTAATAAATACAATTTTAAATAATGTTATGTAAATATGTTTCTCACTCGTTAACTTTTGAATAAGTATCGGCTATTTAAAAATGTTATTTAAAATTGTTATTTATTGTTCATTTTTTTCTTACTTTTTGGTATTTGGTCGGCGTTCGGAGAAAAATTTTTATTTTTCACCTCTATCGAGATCTTGCTTATTTCGTACAAATCAAGTTATCTATTGGCGAGATAAATATATAGTTTACATTTATTCGGTATATAAATAAATATAAATATTTTTTTTTAAGGTGTGTTCTGTTCGGTGTTGGAACTCTAGTATGGCAGCAAGTTATAACAACCATACCAATTGGTTCCTTAGGAAAATCTATGGAGTAAGTTCATTTTATGATACAATATCTGAAGTGCCCGCGTTGCCCGTGGAAATTTAAAAACACTAGAAAAACTTCAAATTTTTAACAAAAAAAGGCTAAAATCCTTTGTTACTCCCACGGTACCCAAGGGTTTCCTCCACAAATTTCAGCCATTTTGGTTCAGCCGTTTGGCACCAGCAGATTAATTTGATCACCCTTTTTCTATATTATAATCTGACATGAATTGTTTGATTATCATGTCCGATTCACAACAGTACTCTTTGTCTGATTAAGAATAAATGAGATACTTATCATCTTCTATCTGAAAATTTATTATTTACGCAATTTTTTTCTTTGGAAACAATAATGGAGGAAAGTGTTAAAGGTAAACAGGTTTAGTCAGGAAAACGACGATATCTTTTAAATTATTGATCAGATAAATTACCATCGACAGTCTTTTTTTAATGTGAATAATTTTAAGGTTGGGATCCAATCCTCCTGACATGAGTTCACCCTGTATGGTTGAGGATAACAGTAACAACACCTACAGCCCTCACCCTGTAGTTGGACGGAGCGGTCAGATCCTCTGGATCCGTGGGCTGACTAGGTTACAGACTCAGGTAGAGATTAAAAAATATTTCACATTTTCCTTCATCAAAGTCTTTTTTCAGCATTAGGCGGGGGAGGGGGGAGTGGGGTAACTTTCTCCATGCTTTATGTGTTATTAGTTCATAAGATATACGGGAGTTACATAAATACCACATTGTTTTTAATTGGACCAGGGTGCATTCATTTCTTAGTTTCACATTTTCACAGCATGATCAAATAATGCATATTTAGGATGAGCTGATCATCATTTTTCTTCCATTTCTTTTGTTTTTAATATGACTTTGAAAACTAACATAAATTTTGTGATTTTCATAATTCTACTTTTTGCCATTCATTTTGAGTTCGATGACAGGTCTTATAATTTTTAGAATCTTGGATTGTTTGAGAAGCATGTATATTCAATTTGATTTAAAGCTTTTATTTATCATTACGTTATTAAAGAAGAATTTCCTTTGTCTTCCTGAATGAGCTGAAGGATATTTAAATTCATTTCCGCATTTCCATTTTTCCACTAGATGCAATCAGTATTAGTGAATTTCCTTTGTCTCCTGAATGAGCTGAAGGATATTTAAATTCATTTCCGCATTTCCATTTTTCCACTAGATGCAATCAGTATTAGTTAGTTTAAATTTCCACTGCAAACATATACTTTTCATAAGTATTAACACCTACTTAAATGAAAAAGTATTACTGCCTGGGATACAAAATTTGCAAATTGCAAGACTTCATGATATATAAATGTATGAACACATCTTATTCTCGTTTTGTGGTATATTGTACCTGCTCCTTTCGCGGGTTGGGTAAATAGTGCATGGTTTAGAGTGACCCCCCTCCTCCCTCTTTTGAGAGGAACTTTTTATTAGATGATATCGTATACGTTACATTGCTAGGTCTGTAATTTTTATTTTTATTTGATATTTAACATTTTCCCTTCAGAAGATTTCACTCAGGCATTCTCCCTAATTATGTGAACTCAAATGGTGAAAGAAAATCGAACTGCCCTTTCCTTTTGATTTTATGGATGGAGTGGATACATCTAAATATTTAATAACTAAGTTTCTAAAAACCTAAGTTCAGTTCACTAGTTGAAATTGAAATTGAAAACACCCTAGTTTTCAAGGCTTATTTTTGTACTTCAAAATTAAAAGTAAAATAAACATTAATACTCAATTTTTTAAGTTTTGTAACGGCGACTAAGGATTATGTAAAAACAAAAAACAATATTTTTAAATTCCATTTAGAAAGGAAAAAAAACAATATAATGTAGTTTAAAGTGTAATTAAGATTAATTATGTAATGTGTTTATAACTAGTGTTTCTGTACATAGGATTTTATGAATTATGTATTACATATTTAGTTTTTATGTACCCATGACATAATTATTCCATTGTTATCACGTTACAGCTTCGGGTCATCAGAGCATTCAAGTCTACTTTGGAGGATATGGAGGAAAAAAGGTCATGTCACAGCATGCATAGCGTGCGATCCACTCGAAGTTACCTCACCCGACCTACATCCGACATATCTAATGTCGATGATGAAGAAAGGGGAAGGAAAGGTAGTGGACAGGCTACAAATGGACATTACATCCGCACCACAAGCCATGGTATGAGTCAAAATTTTGCAAAATCTAACGTGGTGGAGGCTTCTTCTAATAACTATCTTAAAGTTGATGGTGGTGCATACAGGGTACAACGCAGTGTTTCTAGTGGCAGCACCACTTTTGCCCAGCCTGGGGCAACTAGACCAAGGGCATCTAGTGATGCTGCCACTCAAAGTGTGGAGTCTTCTTTTACTCAAACGGATGAGTCATGGTTAGCCCCTGCCCCTGTTTATGGAGGGAATATGCCACAAGTGGCACCCCCAAGTCCTGTCCCCCCTGTAATGATTGATGTGGGAGATGGGGGAGGGGGATCTGTATTTGGATATACAAGGGCTACATCGCCTATCCAACCCAATCAGTATAGTCACCTTATACCATCCCCTTATTTTCATCCACCATTTTATGAGCCAGCATATTACCACTCCTATCTGAATCCTATGGTAGCTCCAGGCTTGCCAGATGGATATCAGTATGAAGTAGTGGTAAGAAGGCCATCAATGGGTCCCACAGAACTCACTGTTCCTGGTCATACACCTGGTGACCCCAACCGTCGACCCTCTATGGGGCACTACACCCTGCCCCAAATGGTGCCTATGCATCCCCCCCATTCCTTACCTGGATCTTTTGATTCAAACATGCCACCTCCCTTCACCCCAGCATACAATCATGCTCCTCAGCCCCTGTCCCCTCGACATTTCCCTGGCAATATCCAACTCCAACATTCAATTTCCACAATCCAATCTCCCAGCCTAAATGTGAACAATCCTACAGAATTAAAGCCAGGGGACTCCAAGCCCATTCAGATTCCAACCTCTGATATACCAAAATTAATTCATGAAACCAGTATATGAGAACTACTAAACTAAATCTCTTTTAAATGTAGTCATGTTAAGCTAATGGAATAACATTCGATAATATTCTAGTTGAATGCCAAATTAAATACTGGTTTTGTGAATTTTTTTTTTTTGGAGGAAGGGGATGCGTGTTTTGTGATGAAATATATTGGGTAATATCCAATGTCAGTCCACCCATCCCAATGCTCTCCCTCAAAATCATTAGAATGATATAAACCATGAACTTATCCGTTTGATTAACACCTATAGTTTAATTTTTAAGTTTGCCTTTCTTAGACTTTATATTAACTAACAGATTAATGCTTCCATATGTTACTAACAACTAAACTTCTACTTTAAGCATACTGAGCGAGAACTCTAATGCAACATAATTTATTCTGTAAGTAAAGATTTACTATCTATGGTCCATGGAAATTGAAATTCTCTTATTTCTGCTAACCAATATGAATTAAAGAGCTTCAATACAGGGTGTGTTTACTGTATAGGCTGAGTAATAAAACCGGATTTGTCTTGTCTTTTATTTGTCCATGGGATATTCTTTGCATTACTAACATGATTATCATAGTGAAAAAAGATGTTACAATATTTTTTTCCAGATTATTAATTTTTTGCTTTTATCTTATTTGGCTAGAATTAATAGATTTACTATTAAATATCTGCATACATAATTTCTAGTGACAATAAGGGCATACAATAATTGGCTGCAACCATGTCTTCAAGAAATATTTTCTTTTTTTAAAATTTCCAATAAAAAGAATATAAATTGCAATTTCGGAATATCTTTGTTTTCAACCATTTCCCACTGTTTATATCTGGAGCTCCTCCATTCTGAACCCAATACTGCTCAGAATTGCATAGATAGTAGTGTTCATCAGTGAAATTTGAAGTTGTAAGTTATTGTAAACCTGAAGAGAAGCGTTAAGCCTGGAACATGAAACATCTTTGTGCCATTTTATAGTAAAAAGTCAGTGTTTTTAGAACGTAACATTAAGAACATACACATTCCGAAGATTGAACTGGTTTCATAGAGAGATCACTGCCATTTTCATAAACTCTTTTCCCATTGTCATTCAGCACATTTAATTTAGAACACAACCATTTCCCTGGAATTGTCAATGTCTGCGCTAGTTTAGGAAAGTACTGAGCCTAATTGTATACAATGTCGAAATGAAGGCTGTTTACTTTTCAAAACCAGAGTTCCTCACCTTAATTTTTAACATAGTCCATAGTTTACCTTGTAACCATTGGCCATGTTAGCTTGAACTACCCATAAACACAACTATCCTCCCTGCCAACTAATAAAGCCCCTCCTATAGGTAATAGGCGGGGACAGACAGGACAGACTCATTCCTGTACCCTACTCCAAAAATACCACAGATCAAGCAGTAAGCCCTGAGCATTTAAATCTCTGTTGAGCTTCTGAGGTGCAGGTGTTGGGTTTACCCATATCCTGTATCCTCATTTTATCAATAGGCCTTTCTACGTTTTAACGATTTGTGTCTTTTTTATTGGTTTGCAAATTTTTTGCATAAACTGCACGACTAGTTAAAAGTGTTCTTTGCATGCCTTTGTTTCAATTTTAAAAGGTTCACTTAGGATATGTTTTGGGGTCAGATAAAGAATAAAAAGTGACTAAATTTGGTGTGAACCTTTTAATTGTAAGCCATACAGAGGATAGTCTTTTTAATTAAATTACAAATTATCTTGTCTAAATCTTGGACTGATATAGGTTCAAGTTCTCTGAGCTAAGTGTGATAACCTCATGCATTCTAGAAATAATGATGAAATAAGTTGGTTGAGATAAGATTGTTTTGTAAATACAAAATATGAACTATGCAGCCCTTCCATTAATGAATTGGTTAACCCGTTCTTCACAATAAGCACTGCCAGTTTACTTGTAGTAAACACTTAAATCTGTTCTCTTGAATAATGATGGTATAGTCTATTATTTGACATATTGTGCAATTTCTACTTGAAATAACAGTAAAAAAGCGATTTTGTTGCATGCTGAGAAGAGTATATTCAAAATATTAATTGCTGGTTTTCAATATTAAGTTTTCTTTAAAAAATTAATAAAACCACTTTCTCTATCCACGGTTTTAAAAAAAGCAATAAAATATATCACTATTTTACTATCCATGGTTTAGGGTTAACCCCTTGTTTCAAACTAGATTTTACACGGCTTTCTTTTTATTTTAAGGTAATTTTTATAGAAGATAATGAAATAACTAAAACCAATATAGCTGAAATTCTGAATGAATGATAAAAATTTAATTGTATCATCCAAAAGGCAATTTAGATTACATTTTTTTCATTTTGACTATGTCTGCTTTTGGAGATGTCATATTCAGGACACATTGCACCTCCAAGTACAACATTGAACGGTTTATCAAAATTTCTGTCATTTGAACTTTGATTGGCCTTGATTTCAACGAAATGATGGATTACACATGGCTCGGGGGAAGAGGAAGGTGAATAGCTGATAAAAGTCCTGAAAGGGGAGGGGGGGGGGGATATACTTCGAATAATTTACATGGTAAAAAATGGAAAGACTTGAATGGGGATATTAGATATTTGATAAAACTAGATCTCTCAGGGAAAGGGTTTCTCCGACCTCTGATTTCACTCAGTTCTCAAATTCTTGCGGTTTAATTTTTAAAAAGTTTTTATAAAGTGTAGAAACACAATTTAATATGGTATAGGAATACAAAAAATAGGTTTGGGTTTCCAGCAATAAAGTTTGAAAATATATTTCTTTTTGCCATTATTTCACAGTTTTTGACTTTGACCTTAAAAAACTATCACATGCATGTTTTTTTTCTGTTGATAAAGTTAATTTTTTGTTGACTCCTCTTTTATTATATGTCACGACATTGTCTTTATCTCAGTATTTTTGTTTTTATTTTCACTCACATTGCTATCCGCTATGGTTTTTATTTTACATCCGTCAGACATAAAAAGTTCAAGTGCCAAAAGTAATGTAGGCAATCAAGTGATGGCTGTAATTCCCTTGATTATACAGCGACAAATTTTCCTTCTTCTTTAAGAAATAACACACTAATGAACACTAATTACTTAAATGATGGATGAAAATTTGTTATATAAAATGACAGTGGTCTCTTTTCGACACATAACAACCAATTTTCTCTGATTGCTTTTCGCCTCTTATCGGGTAGTTAATTTCATTTGTGATCTATACTGCATTTCGTTTAAGTTAACAGCATTTCCTTTATTTTAATAATTTTAGAGAATTGCCTGTTCCGGCAAATTGTAAATAATATCAATGTTGTTTGTTAGTCCTTAGATTGTATGCTGGAATATGGTTTAGATAACCCCAAGAATCTCGAATGAATTTTCACTTCAAAATCATTTAGATTAGATCTTATTTGTAAACTGTGACCCCAAGTCTAAACATTAAGACATTTTGAAAATAAATGTGTTTAGCAAATTTGGATTAATGAAATCGAAACTTGAATAAAAGGTTTTAGTTTTAATAGAATGTGAAGGATTAGCACAAACAGGAATCTCTTATTAAATGTAAGTCGTAAAAACGATTTGATAAACCCTCCCTTCCACAACGTCTCACATGGTCCATTGGTGAGGGGATCCAACTTCACCAGCCTTTCTCTGGACCAGTAAGTTTTACTGTCACTTTTTAGTTTGTTTAAAGCTTTGTATTTTGATTGTAGAATGAATCCCCCCCCCCCCAACCATCCCCTTCTCCTCTCCAGTTATTAAAACTATTTTATATTCTGCATGTTTTTATCGGTACTTAAAATCAACTTTGACACGAAGTAAATTCAAAATAATAATAATTTTTTAACCTAAACTTTAAGATTAAGTTTAATAAGTATTTGTTTAAATTCCATCTCAACGCACCAAATGGCTGTATTTCGAATACTAATACATTTTCAAACTATAATTTATATAACAATTTATTTTAATATACTGCAAGATGAATAATGAAAATACTGTGCTTTTATCTAAACTGAATTTCCCTTCTCTAAATATTTACTTGCTTATAAACAGAACTCGAGATTTAGTCTAAATACAGGGGAAATTAGTTTCAAAACTAACACTTGGCCCATTTCTAACAATGAGTAGAAATGGGCCAAATCTGCAAAGTTATCTTTTTCAAGCGTGTATATCTTTAAATCCTAGCCGAGTTGAACAAAAATACACCATACATTTATTAGAAATGGAAAAACTATATTTTAAAACAAAAAATGTCAACTTTAAACTTATCATAAGGTGTGAACATTGGTTTTTTAATGATACTTGATTTCATTTTCTGGGATCTTAAAAACCCAGTCCTTCAATTTGTGCCCATTTCAGTGTTAGAAATGGGCCAAGTGTTAGTTTTGAAACTAATGTCCCCTAAAATATAAAAATAGGTAAAGTAAACCACCCTTAAAATAAATTTTGGTGTGATTGAAAAAGGGTTGCAGAACTCCTCGATACATATAAGCTATGCGTGTTGTTTATCTTCAAGACCACTATAAAACACCTGGACTATTCACAGAGCATTGTTGCAATCTTATTAAACTTAGGTGTACCCCAGAATTAGGTAAGGTCGGACAGTATTTTGAGCGTTTTGTGTGGACCAATTCCCTCTATCCACCTTTTTTAAGGACTTCTTACAACCAACGGCAACCAAAATTAATTGTGCTTACAACTTGGTGTCCAAAAACCAATAGGGATATGTTCTCTTTTCATGGAAAAAGTTTCAATCTAAATATATATATATATTTCAAACTTCAAATACCATCGAAAATATCAAATTTGAACCCAATAAGTTTACAAGTTGATCGCTATTAAGAAAATCCTACAGCAAAAAATATATTAAAATATGAGAAAAAGGTAAGATTTTTTAGGAATCATTTGTAAAGTAGCTCCCTGTCCGACCTGTTCTAATTCCTACTTGTAAATTCCTACTTTGGTCCTCGGTCATATTGTACTGGAGCTTCATTGAGACTAATACATATTTCCCTAAAACAGAAGTAAGGTTTTTATTCAAAAATAAATTAACAGTATCATGCAAAATGCAGAAAAAGTAAGTGTGATGTTCTGTTTTATCAGAATTCTGTCTTAATTTCTAACTATGAGATATAAAAAAAATATGAATAAGGACAGTCGGTTGTAACCCTAAAAGATTTTGGACCCAAACCATGCTCTTTTTCCACAGCTAACTTACAAGTACCTTAATGTTTACCTAAGTGTACACGCAATGGTTCAGGAAAATTATATGTTGTAACTCTGTTCTTCGCACATATTATTGTAGTAGATACAAGCATACAAGGGAATAGTTAAAATAATTGCTAGTGCTTAATTATTAACACTTAACAGTAAACTGCTCCCTTCACATAGAATAAATTTCTTAACATGAGATGTTTACACTGGCTTTTCTTCAACCAAAGTTGGAGGATTAACATTGAATAAGAACTTGGTCAGGTTTTTGTAAACTTCTCTTCTTTAAATTGATGATGTGTAAACAGCACGGGCTATCTTTGTGATTTTTTGTCTTTGCCCCCTGAGAAGTATTCTATGATCTCTTGATCCCATTAATTGTATAGGATACGTCTTAATAGAGAGAAAACACATGAAAATTGTGATCAATTCTAAGATTTGAGTTGTGCCAGTGAAGGGAGAAAATGTTTTGTCTTTTTCAGGTTATGGTTAATTCTTGAGAAATAACTAGTCAATTTAATTGCTTCTATTTAATATAAAAAGGGTGGTTGCTTACTCTTAAAATAAGATTTTGAATATCTAAATTATTGCTGATAAATCTTAAACTTGCACAAGAAAGATTGAGAATTGGTCGCATTTTTTATCTCTTATCCCGTAATAAAACTTAATGTTGTAATGTCAACCCTTATAATTCATATTATAGCTTTGTTACCAAACACATCTATTGTCTTAAATATGAATTTTATTGGTTAATATATCCAGTCCAGTACCGTTTTATTTTACATTTTTTATTTTTCTGATTTCTTGCACTTGTGATAATACATCGGGGCACTTATGATCATGCATAACTGATGCAGGATTTAACATTTTTATACATTCATTGTACGTCATTATGATTATTCAAAATTGTAAATACAGATAAACTAGTTGAGGGATTATTAAATTAGTAAAAATCCAGCTTTGTCAACGCCCTCAATCCTAAAATTGAAAACACTTAAAAAGGAATATTCCATACTCTTTTCAAAACAAGAAGGGTGGTAGAAAAATTTTACTGGTTGAGACTTTTGATAATTAGCCGCTTTTAGCTCAGAATGCAGAACTTTTAAATGATTAAATCTCACCTTTTAAAGCTTTTATAACAGCAATTTGTAGCAATTTTTGCATGACCAGTGGTAAAACTTCACATACTAGTGATAGTATGCCATGGTGTTGCCGCTATTATTCATTTACAGATCCTTCATCAGTTATAGTGTTACATGTGTACATGTGCACCACATTTACCCTATCCCTTGCACTTGAGAAAATGACAATCTCTGATGGAAGTTCTTAACGGTCCTCCTTTTAATCTCAAATACGTGACATTTTTTTATTTTTTTTTAATCTCCAATACAGACAGACATATATTACGGGTGTCGGGCAACTAACTTTCCTCAAAATTACCGGGCTTAAACATGTGCGTCGCATTATGGGTTATATATGTAGTATGTCTATCATCATTTTTTTACTGCAATATTAACCCTGATTATTTTGAGGATTGATGTATTCATTTAAACCCTAGGTTAATGATTTTTTTTCAGATCCGAGTTGTTAACGCGTTTCGTCATGGAGTAGATACTCCTCAGGTTCAACAAGCTACTTCCAATCCAAATATACAGGTATTAATTCAGAGCTGGAAACTCCTCTGTTGTATACCTTTCATTCGGTTCGCTTAATATTAATATCCATTTTGCACACTTTTTGTTTTCTGCTTGATCCGGGATCCCCTCTTCTGCCGGATTTCAACGCGAGTTCTCTTATTAATTCTGCGCAAATTTCCCAGCTTCTGATTTGCTGTTCGACTATGCAAACGACACCCTTGATTAGATGAACATTTTCCTGGATATCAAAATTAAGATTACATTAATCTGCAGATTATAAAAAGAGGAGTTTAAGCATTGATCACGATTTCCACAATTCTAAAGTGTTCGGCTCAGGATATATATTTTCAAGAACTCCCCCCCCCCTCCTCTCCCCCCCCCCTTAGGCGGAAATGATTTTCGTTGTTTTGGGGGGGAAAATGAGAATAAAAGACAAGTTGTCAACCATGTTAGAAACTTTTTATCCATTTTTTTTTGGGGGGGGGGTGACTGGGAGACCTTACTATAATTTTTGAATAGTCGATATACATTTAATTCAGGCCATTGTTTACAAAAACTTTCTTCGACTTCTCAGAGATTTATTAGATTAAAATTTAAAACCCAATAATTAACATATTTTAGCGGGTACTGCAGAAACAGGCGAGTCTAAATAAACGATTGAGCGCAGCCTCTGCGGTGAGTGATCCTGACAATTTACTTCACAACAGTAACGCCCTTCATCAGCTCAAGACCAAAAGCCATACAGAAACAGCTGTCTAGATGCTAAACCTTAAATTCAGAAGAAACAGTTTTACTGATCGTGATTTTGTTTCCATCGGAAGATCGGTTCAGTGCCTTGTAAGGATATTGAGGAACTTTTGTATTTCCTGATTGTGTTATCTTGGGTATGAGAAGAAATTATCAATCTTTACGATTTATGATACATTTTTTTCAGAGACCTCACTTATTTTTAAATTGAGTCACTGAACACTACAAATTATTTCATTGTAGTTATGTAGGTTCCTATGAGCTGAGAAAACTATGCATAAATGAAACTCTAATGTCTGACCTTGCAGTGTTATATCTCGATACTGTATTTGTTAATAAAAACAGCAAACTAGCTTAATTTCGTAAAATTTAAAGAAAGTTCTAATCGCGGAATAAAATGTTTTGAAAAATTACCCCCCATGAACCGTCACGCGCTTCACGTCAGTTAACGCACAAGTTGGGACGCAGGAGAAGTTTCTTGATTTTCTCGGGGTTCTAGGTTTTTCAAGTCCTCACATTGAACAGATTGTTTCGAAAATATTGTGGCCAGGTCTGAATTTAGAGATTATTATAAACGTTCACTTCCTTACGTCAAAGATTTATATTTCATGTATACACAAGTTTAAATATTTTTGAAAATCTCATTGTCAGCTCTATGAAAATGTTAAGGTTTTGAGTGGAATCATGTTGAGGTATACACTTTACAGAGTTTGGATATATTAAAAGTATCAAATGATGACTTTGGTCATGATTTACTCTTCGACAAGATTTTTTAAAATGATTCGTGAGAATGATAATTTCTTCATATACTCAGTTATCTTGTTATTTAAGGAAATTAATAAGTATCCTAAACTAGATTCTGAACAGCTCATCCAATTAAAAAATCTATTTCCGACATGAATGCGGGTTTTCTGTCCTGAAGTCGGGCTAGATGATTAAAACCAAGCATAAAACAAGATCCTGTTCTAAATTTGAAAATAATACTCGTGCTAGACCATCACGCAAGTTACTCTCAGTGAATATCAAAGTAATTGTTGAAATTTTTGTGAAATTTATCGTTTCCGACTTTTAAATCATGTGCTTGTAGTAAGTTTAATCCTACTAAATTTGAACTGTACAATGTACAATGATATCTAAGTGTTCTTTACAATCAACAGTAGATTTTATAATTTCTATAAAGTAATACATTAAGGACCAAACCTACTAAGTAGAAATGATTTTAAGAAATAGATCCTGTAGAATATTTTGATAACCTTTCAGCTTTAACGCCCCGTACAAAGTTTATTTGTAAAAATTACATTTTGTATGTCAGCGTTTTCGAATCACTGTGGCCCTTGAATTTAGAAATGTTTCATTATCCACTGGTTTTTTGTAATTAGAGTAGACAATGCCAAATAATAGGTATCTTGCTCTGTTTTAATATATGTATATGATTACTGCATGTAGTTGAATACATTATCCATTTAGTTTAAAAACTGGCCAAAAAATGTTTATAAGCTCGTCATTATGTGTATTGTGTGGTTGGGATGCAGAATAGATTTAATTAAATGTAGGTGCAGTGCAATTCCGGAAACAATTTTTAATGTATTCTATTTCACAACTGAAATTTGATATTCACCTTTTTGTAAATAGGTTTTTATTTTTAAAATCTTGGATTTTCAATTTCAACGTAACTAAAATGCTTAGGATTGGGGTTGCAATAGTTGAATTCCATCTTAATTCCCAACAATGATCTTGTAATTCAATTGTTTATAACTCTACCCCCCTCCCCCCCCCACGAATGGGATATTTTACGTACAAAATAAATTATTGAGCAATATACTTAAATATCTAATAGGTTTATTCATATCTGCTCTAAGTAAACCATCTTTGCTTCAAGTTACCAACTAAAATCCTCTTTTTATTAATTTAAATAACGTTTAATATGTTTAATAATTGTGCTTGATAATTAAAACCTGACTTCTTAAACTTTTTTTTAATTTATCCAGTTTTGTAAAATAATCAGACAATTTTGAGTAGATTATATCGGCAAAATCCCACTCTAAGTAATGTGAAATTTTGACCTTGCACTCAAAGAATTCCATGGTAAGATAAATTCTGTCATCCACACCACACTTGGGACTATGTCTTAGTGCATACCTAGTAATGTGCTTCCTTTAGCGGACTAAACATTTATGTAATTTTTACTTTTGCAGTTGTTTGTAGAGAACGAGAGATACTACGATCATTTTTTGTTAATTCATAAAATATGGAAAATAATATTTTCATTAGAACATTACTAATTATGATACTTAATTCATGTTTAGTATTATGTTCTCATTTATTTGGAGTCTTCCTCCACCTAATTAATGTTATTGATTGAATGAGATCCAACCTCGAAACTCGAATTAATGTGAATAAAAAATAGTTTTTATTGAAAAGTTGTAGTGACGAAAGAGATGCTTGTGAATATTCTTATATACATATTAAGACTTACGCCAAAACTTTCCAGATTTTTATTTGTATTCACCTTGATACAAAAAAGTTAAAGTTAAATAGCTCTAAATATTCATCTGAGTGTCTACTTTTCAGAACCTCAGACAAAAAGAGCGTTTATCTCAGATAGGTTTTCTTAATTTAAGAAATTTCTATTTTGGTCCCGACAGAACCTGAGGAACCTGAGGGTCATGAGGTCAGAGCTGTTGGGGATTATTGTTAAACGCATGATCTCAATATCCAATGAGTGTGCTGTTAAATTTGAGGATCAATGCCTGATCCCTTAATTAAAGTTATCCCATCAAGGTATGATCATCACAGGATATCAAAGAGAAATTAAATTAATCCGTAGGTCTGAATAAGATAAAGTTTTTAGCTTAATTCCGATATTCACAACTTAAATAAAGTTCTTACTTTTGGGATAGGATCTTTTACTACATTTCTGGCTTTTGATTTATTCAGCAAATTCAAGGATTCGAATTTGTCTTTTCCTATTTACCTTAACTCGAATAATGCCATATCTCTAGCTAACAAGAAAATATTATTTTTACTCTCTTAAAACGTGGGAATTAATTGACGACTTCTAAATCGTCTTTGTTCCATGCGGCATAAGAACGTTAACCCAATTTGTGTAGTATCCTAGTTAAAACAGTAAAAAATTGGGATTTCCAAAATGTTGTCTGCCATTTTTCACTATTAAAATTGACAGAGGAATTAAGAAATATGTACAGAATCCCCAGCAATTCTAGTTCATAAAGCAACAACAAAACTTTTAGATGTTAAATATCTCCGTCAATTTAAAGATACCAAGAAGGGAAACCATATTTTGAAAAGCTCATGCAACGCACAGTCTTATTTCAACACTCATTCTGTCTTTTGTCAAATATCGGAAATTGAAGACGTTCATGTGGTCTCCTGTAAATTTTAATGTTTGTGTTCTCCCTGGAGGTCGAAGCGGTGACACAAAATTGATTTTCTAGGTCACAACGGAACTTTTTAATACCCTGACTGCCATTTAGGAGTTCAAATCCTATCAAAAGAGCACTCAGAAGTCAGAATGTTATGGGTAGCGTACGTACCAATCGATAAAAAAAAAACATTTTCTTTGTCCACTGATCAAGGTTCATTATACTCTTCCTGTAGAACAAGTTCACACAGTTCTCTTAAATCCATAATAATAATAATATACTCCAAGCTTTAAATGATTTAGTTTAGATGATAAATCCAAGGTTTTTAAGATAAATCTCTTTAAGGTTTGAATAGACCTCAATGGTTTAGATGATAAACTCCATGGTTCAGGTGATAAAATCCTTCTAGATTAGTTCAGGGAACATCTTATCAAAGACATACCTACCACGACACCCAAGGATATGGAATGAATAATACCTGAACTATCGATTTTATTAGAGTTCATCCTCTGAACCATTAAGCTTTCATTAAAAGCATAGAGTTTGTCATCTTAACCTTAGAGTTTATAATCCAAACCATGGTGTTAATCATCTAAAGCATGGATTTTATCATCTTTACATTAGAGTTTATTATCTAAACCATGGGTTAATCATAGCTACTCATCCAAACCATGGAGTTGTTCAGCTAAAAATTAGACTTTATCGACTGAACCTTTGAGTTTAACATCCTAATTATGGAATTTTTCATCTAAACCTTGGAGTTTATCATCTAAACCTTGGAGTTTTTCCTTTAAACTGTTGAGTTTATCATCTAAACCTTGGAGTTTTTCCTTTAAACTATTGAGTTTATCATCTAAACCTTGGAGTTTTTCCTTTAAACTATTGAGTTTATCATCTAAACCATGGACCTTTTAATTTAAACCACGAAGTTTTTCATCAAAACCATGGAGTTCTTCATTTAAACCGAGGATAATGAAGTTTTACATTTAAACCTGTCACCTGAACCTTAGAGTTTATCATCTGAACCATGGCGTTTTTCATTTAAACAATCGCGTTTTTTATCTAAACCTTGGAGTTTTTTATTTTAACTATGGAGTTTATCATCTTAACCATGGAGGTTTTCATTAAACCATGGAGTTTTTCATTTAAACCATGGAGTTTTATTATCTAACCCATGGAGGTTTTCATTAAACCATGGAGTTTTTTTATTTTAACTATGGAGTTTATCATCTAAACCATGGAGGTTTTCATTAAACCATGGAGCTTTTCTATCTAAACCTTTGAGTTTTTATTTAAACTATGGACTTTATCATCTAAACCATGGAGGTTCATTAAACCATGGAGTTTTTCATTGAAATCATGGAGTTTATCATCTAACCTATGGAGGTTTTCATTAAACCATGGAGTTTTTCTATCTAAACCTTGGAGTTTTTTTATTAAAACTATGGAGTTTATCATCTAAACCATGGAGGTTTTCATTAAACAATGGAGTTTCAATTACCCCCAACATTCAAAAAAGATTTTATACAGAAATGATTTTTATATTCCTAGAATAAAATCTATTACAATTGAACTGCTCCCCCCTCACAATTTCTCTAAAATATGGTATGAAAATAAACGACACTTTTCTAAGCTTTCAAATATCAATCTTATTTCGCATCTTAAACAGAATTTAATAGAAGATTTTTATCAGCAGAACAAATGTTTTAATTCTAACACATGCTATGTTTGCAAAAGAATCGAAGAAACCAAAGACGATTTTACAAAGAAAAGAATAAAAAGATTAAAAAGAGTAAAAGATATAATCAAACATAAAGGATGTCAAAAATCAGCGCGAATTAAAAAGATGCTTAAAAATGCCCGTTTTTCATAGAACCTTTATCTCTTTCACATTTTTTTAACATTACAAATAAATCTATAATTTTTATTTCTAAAAGTTGTTAGTTCATCGTCGAAAAATACTAACAATCCACCACCAATTTATTAAATATATTGTAAACAATAAATATGTAACTTTCCTTATCCTTTCCTTTTCCTTTTATTTCTATTTTTATATTTTTTTAGAATTGGGGGAAAATATTCCCGCAACCTCTACTTTTAGAGATTTTTAAATATTTTCTCCTGAAACATTTTATTTTGTATGTTTTTGTTATATTTCATAGATAAATAATTTTTTACTTTTTACTTACTTACTATCTAAACCTTGGAGTTTTTTTATTAAAACTATGGAGTTTATCATCTAAACCATGGAGTTTTTCATTTAAACCATGGAGGTTTTCTAAACAGATATCACGCTTTCACTTGGGACTGGTCTCATCCCATGTTTTTTTAATCTTTCAGACTATAGTTGCTCATGTTGAAAATTTATCATTTTTTTCTTGTTAAAGAAACTGTAAGCGTAATTTCAAGTGACCCTTCATGCAAAGATGGCAATGCCTAGTTCATAACAGTACCATTAAAAGCTTTTCCTGATAAAGCATAATTTTGAAAAATTATCATTTTCAATTGTGGTTTATCTATAAAAGTGACATGCACATTTCTACTACAGGAAACCATATAGGGGTTTCAGCAGTTTAACACTTTTAACTTCCACATTATTAATAAGATAAGGATTTAAGGGTACCCTTCAGAGTTGGAAAAAGCCCGGGTTTTTTTCAAAAAGACCCAGCTCAATGGTTTTTTTTGGGGTTTTCAGGTTTTATTGGGTTTTATTGGGGTTTTGGGGGGCTTTTTGGGGTTTTTTAATTTAAAAGTAGTTAAAACCTACTAAACTTCATACTAATTCATAGCAATAAGACTATTTAATCAATAGGTAAACTTTATAGTTAAGAAAAATAATAATGTTGTTGTGATGATAAATACTCTTTAAAAACAATAATATCAAGTCCCTTCTTCATGGGGGGAATACTGCAATTTTTTATTATTTCTATAAATTTCAGACTAAATCTATTTTCTCACTGGATACATATTTCTGATTGGGGTGGGGCTACTTGGATTAATTTGGTAGATATTGCTCAAGAAAGAAGACCACTGTTGGATTAGACTGGTCTAAAACCAGAAAACGTCTCGAAGTGACATGGTTGACTAATTTGATTAATTCAAAAAAGAAATTTAAATAACAATGTTCATTTTGTTAAGATCATAGGTTTAAGCCTCTGAAAATGAATAAATGTGTCAGTTTTAGTGCTGTAAACTCCTGAAAATCTCTTTAAAAGAGATGTTTTTGTCCCCAGGACATGATTGAATCTTGGAATTTTTCTATTGCGAAAGTTTGGTGTTGAAGGGGTTTTGTATTAATCTGCCAGGGGTTGTAATCTGGCAGCACATTCATCCGTCCACGCTTCATTTATTCTGAGAAGAGGGTTGACAAGATTCCAGCTGCCTAAGGGCTTCTTAAGCCTGAGAATAGTAAAGTGCAGGAATTCCTCTGATACACTGGAATTAGGCCTGGGTGCCTTACAGATAGGAAACATCACACTCTTTGCTCCCAATCATTTTAAAGTCCGGATTGGATACCTCCAGGCAACCATAGACTCTCCCTGCTTGTTCACCTTTCCTCTCTTCATCATCTACTTGGATCAATCCATTTCAAGCTTCTTTCTTGTTGAGTAGAAAGCACGCTCTCTTCGCTGCGAGAGATGTTGACAGCTGCCCCTTAGTCCTCCTACATCCGTCAGGTGGTCATAACAGCTTTAGATGATATTGAAACCACAGGTTTGTGAGGAATGCGGGAATCGAACCCATGAACACCAGGCTGCGGACAAGTGTGCTTAACTTCAGTGATTTAATGAGAACTGGTGTCACACACTACCCACCCCACCTCTAAAAAGCCAACTTACAAGTGTTTTTTTTTTAATTGGACGTTATTGGGTTTTTTGGGTGTTTTTTTGGGCTGGGTTTTTTATGCCAACCCTGGTACCCTTATGAATCAGGCATTGTATTATTTGCATGGAGGATTATTTAATATTTTGTCAAGAGTTCCTTTAACCTAAAGAAATTGTTACTACAAGTTTTTCAAGAAAGAAAAAAAACAAGACGTTGAAACAGCTGAAATGTAGAGCTTTTTAATGACACTTGGATTGTAAAATTGAACATAAATTGGCCCCTTTTGCAAAACATCTTTTGGGGCATATTTAGAAAATTATATTAAACAAGTTCGATTTCTTTTATTAGATGATTTTTCCCAACGAAGCTACAGCATACTTATAGATATAGTTGAAGAAATTCAAAACAAAGAAATATGGCCCTAAAATGTAAATTTTTAAAACCAAGAAGTTATTTTTAAATATACAAAAAAATCGTATAAGAAAAAAAGTAAATTATATTTATGAGCAGTTTATATGTCCCAATGTCATAAACATAAAACTGTGGAATAGTTTGAAATATCCCCGGTAATATTGACAAAAGGTAGACCACATTTTGGAAACTCCAGGACTAGGGAAATATTTTGATTATTGTTTCAAGAATTAATCATGCAAAGTAGGTTGCCTAATAAATGCTACAAATTCTAACCTTTCTCCGTGAAAATTATTTCAATAATAAAAGATGACCTTCAAGACGTCTTGCTACTGCCAAGTTTCGTGAAACACACTGTGGTTACACAAAACCTGACAACCTAAGTAGATTAACGAGAAATATAATAAGGATTTTATCGGACTATTAGGACTTTTGCAGACTATAAGAGGAAAACCGGGATAAGCCCCTTACTGTCAAACAAGGACAGAGGGACTTCGATCAGAAAGACTTAGTATGATGGATTATGGACAGACGAAAGATAGTCAAGTACTGCCAGGATCTACTTACTACTTAGTACTGTACAGACCATAGTAGACAAATATGACTCTGGATGAATTACATTTTATTATCATATTCTTGATCACATTTTGACATTTAATTTATCAAGCATATTGTTGAGATCCTTGAGATATATCAAACATTCAACGCGTTTAAAGATAATTGTTTTTGAATTATTCACTTTATTAACATAGTGATGCTTGTTGCTTATTTCACGCGCGATGATCATATGCGCGTTGGTCCAGCGCACAGTAGTCGATTTTATATTTAGTGGAACTGAGGGTCAAGGGAGAATATATATTTATTAATGCATGAATGTGAATAAAATGATAAGAATATCTGAAATCTCTGAAAAAAAAGAATAAAGGATTAGAAAAATGAAAACAAAGGTAATACTTTGCTAAATCATCTTTACGTCTTGTAAAATTTCATACTTCTTAAAATGCGACTTTTATAAAGAATGTTTTTATTAAATTGAATAAAAAAACATCTAATTCAACCTGTACTTTTATTTAATCTAATAATTAAATATCCCAACTAACAAATCATGATACCCGTCATGCAGTTCATTTAAATATCTTTTGAACAAAATCGATCTTCTTGTCCAAACATTTCAAAAAATAATTTTTTAGCTGAAAAAAAACACACACACAAAAAGGACATTTTTTAGTATTCAATTTCAAAATACGCAATTTAAATAGGATTTTTTAATGGCAATTATCAAATCTTGAGGCAGTTTTACAGCATTAACTATGATTAATATTTTAGTTTAAAAAATAGGGGGTTACATAATTCATATTAAATCGATAGATTTTTGGCCATCTTGATAATCTACATATCATTTCCGGTCAATACCATTCAAAGGTTTTTAACACACAAACCTTTGTAAAGAAGATTAGAGGTCAAAACTTTAGTACGGAGTATCGTTCATCTTGAACCCTTGATCTCGATATCCAATGAGGGCGCATTTAAATTTGATAATCAATGTTGGATCTTTCAACTAAAGTTATCCCTGCAGGGTATGACAACAACGGGATATAGAAGAAGAATTTAATTGATCTGTAGATCTGCATAAGATGGAATGAATACTTGATTCCGAGATTTACATCACATAAGTTCTGACTTCACTTCGGCTTACTTGAGTTCTGAAATACGCATATTTCGTATATTTCTCACGTGATTTTAATGATTTTATTTGAAAATCACATTTTTTAACTAGATTCAAGCACAAAACTTTCATAACAAATTAAAAACCCGTTAGAGAATTCATTGCAAACAATTGAGAACATTTTTAATACAAATTTGAAGATATCATTATCTTTCATGCACTGTTTTAAAATTGTTTACTATTCCTTTAATTTATCTAAATAGATGTTTGATTTCAAAGTTAAACTTTTTTTAACTTTTCACGATGAAAGAATATTTGAGAGATTTTCATGCTTTAAACCATGAAACGGTTTAAAATATCGATCGATCGGAAAAAAAAACTCAAATCATGAAAAAGTGTCTTAAAGACCGTTATTTTTAAACAGCCAGCCTCTATTTACACCTTTGTTTTATAAATACAATTCAATAATATAATCTTATTTATTCTCAGCACAAACAATTGAAATTTTAAAGAAATGCTTGTTATATTTCTAAATGTAACAAACATATAAATATTATGAATAATTTTTATCTAAACATATGTAGGATTGTTCATCATTAAATTAAACCACAATTAAAGAGTTGAAGCGAGACGAAATTAAATCTGTTCCAAAATAAAAAAAATATATTTTGGTCTCATTAAATCTAAAATAACTTCCGCGCATAGCAGAATATTAGAGGGGTAGACTATAGAAGGAGATTATTTTAACACTTGCATTTACAGTAAGATATTTTATTATGTTCATAAAGATTTATTTACACACAAGGATATACATTCACATTCATTTATTATTGGGTTTTATTTGACATTTTTTTACACTAAGTTTTACAAAAGTATGCAAAATTACGCAAAAAAGGGCGACATTCATTATATATCATTTCAGTAGTTACACCATTATAAAATCCTTCAACATATAAATTGCTAATTTATGTATTTAACAGTTGTGTGCTCAAACGGGATATCAAGATATTTTAATTATTTCTTAACTAACGTTTTACTTAGATCTACATATGTAATAACACAACAATCATTTGCAGTAAAAAATAAATTTCTGTTTGAGTCATTTTTGCATCATTAGGAAAGAAATCTAGCGCAGAACTTAGAACTGGATTCAAAAGTCTAATTGAAAGAAACTAATTTACTAGAAGCTAACATAGTTTTTATATATAAACTTTGTGAAATATAATAAGTTTCTCATAGCAGTATTCCATGCAGTATGCAAATTTTAAAACACAATAGGAACTCAGGTCCCAAATACTGAATCAATATAAACTGCAATAAATATGTAGTGCACAATTTCAAAATAACATCTAGAATGTTAAAATAAAACTCTTGGTTAAAGGAAGGAATCGTTAAAATAAAAATAGTTTTTATTGCAATTGTTGGTCATCATACATCACTTTGCAGAATATTTCCTAAACATATGCTTTCATATCAGAGGGAGAAATTTCGCACCTAAAGTAGATTTCCAACCCCAGCGCCTGAAATTCCTGGCATGGGAAAGAGGCTGCTTAACCAAGAAGAGGGTCATGGCAGACCTTAAACTTTTTGGAGTAAAATCCCGGGGCCTTGAGTTAACTTTAAGGCTTTAAAATTAGAAATATGTGTTGCCACCGCACACTGAATTTACGGGTTCAAATTAAGTATGAAAAATGTCTGGCTCAATAATCTTATGAACAAATTTGTCTATCCTGAAAATCTGTTGTCAAAAACATAAATTTTGCTACACATAATATATTCTACAGTTTAAGGGAAATATATCATTTGACGGTGTTAGGTACTTTCCCAAAGGCATTTTACCACGGCGACTTCCCAAGTGACAATTACTCAAGCGGAACTTCCCAAAGTTTAGGTTAGGCCTTCTGAGGCGCGCAGGCTGCGGCTAGGATGGTCTAGGGGGCCGAGCACGGCGGCTAGAACAGGCTTGGGGCCGAGCGCTGCGGCTGGGATAGACTTGGAAAGTTACCGCTTGGGAAATTGCACATTTGGAAATTTGCCACTTGGGAAGTTGCCACTTGGGAAGTTGCCACTTGGGAAGTTGCCACTTGGGAAGTTGCCACTTGGGAAAAACCTTTGGGAAAGTACCTAACATCATTTAACACACTTTTTTCTATAAATTAATAATTAATTAATAATAGGAAGACATTCAATTGTCCTGGACAATTTTTTGGCTTATATATTAATTTAATTAAAGATTCAGGCATTTTCTTATTTAAAATAGCCGCTTAAAATTATGTTCACATTTCCTTCAAACTTCATATATATTCAAGTCATAGCCATAACACTTTAATAAAGCATAGTCGTCGTTGTATATATCAATAGAAAGAAGACGACTTTCGATTTCAATGTTTGTTTTCTACCAAGCATTTTTACAGCATGGATACACATAAACATTAAAACAAAGGGAAGCTTGTCAATTAACAGTTTACCTTTGTTTACTTTTAAACTTGTAATTTTAATAAAGCTTGACGGAAATCAAAACTTACCTAGAAAAGTTGTCTTCATTGTATTGATATAAACGCCGACCACTGGATTATATTTTTCTCTTCTTAATTCTATGTTGATGTGATTTTCAGGTTTCTTCGTTGATGTTTGTGTTGATTGTGATGGTGAGGGTTTGTAAACCTTCTCTAGATTCCTTGGTTAATGCTTTATCCTGTGGCTGTCAATGTAAACTCTACGATGTTGGAACTTGTGAAACAAGGTTTACTACAGAGTGTGAGGTACATACAAATCTATATATTTTACTTTATTGAAGAGCTTTTGAGAAGAATAAATGGAAATCTAAACTATAGTTGATACGAGGTTACAAATTTTACGGGTAGTGTCACTTTGACCTTCTCTTTTTGTCTTGGGGATTTTGAAAGAGGGTTTCTTAAAGAACTATATAAAAACAATGAAATCTCTTGTTAAATCCCTGATAGAAAGATTTATTGGATTTTCAGATGTACAAATACCGGATTACATTGGATAAATTCGTAAATCAAATTAAGTTGCTGAGGTGGGATATTGCTAACCTACAACTCTTGATCTCGAAATCCACATATTTCAGATTTGAGGATTAGTGCTTTATTCCTCAAATCTGAAATTTAGAGATTAACAACACAAAGGTTATTTCCTCTACTACTAAAATTAAATTAATAGATTCCTTTTGGCAGCTCATATTTACTCATATTTACTCCTATTTACTCGGCTTACTAATTCTGAAACCAAATCTAACTGTTTCTGTCAAAATGCTTTACGTCGAATTGTGTTCCTTATCAGTTTTATATTCTATATTTTTTCATTATCTAATAATTTAGACAAAATACGAAAACCGTTGTGAGACTGTTTACCATGATGACTGCAAGTCCTATCCTAAGGAAAAATGTAGAACAATACTAAAAGATCAATGCAAATGGGAAAAGCACTGTTCAACATCGAACAAGAAACAGTGTGACAAGATCCCACAAAGGCACTGTAAGAAGGTTTGGGATCATGAATGCCATCATCTCCCTGTCAAAGAATGCAGTATGAAATACGAAAAGAAATGCACTAATGTACCGGACAATAAGTGTTCAATAGTTTATAAGAAAAAGTGCACAAAGATCCCACACCAGGAATGCAGAAAAGAAAAGGTATGGTTTTTAAAAAGAATTTAAAAATACCATAAGATAGATGTTAACCTATAAATGTTAAATTAAATTTAGTATCTCGCATTTCAAAAGAAAAAATTTTTGTTTAACCTTTTTATTAAAAACATCAAATGGTGTTTTTAATTTAATAGCTATTAATTCTATATGTATTCTCCTTAATGCGAATTCACATACCTTAAAGGGACCGTTCACTTATTTCTGTAATTTTCTAAACCCATTATCTTTGCAACTCAATGTCGTAGATCTTAGACTATGAACTATGAATTTTGTTACATCAAATAAGTAAGTTTGAAATATCTAAGGTTTACACCATCAGGTTGTAAAGATATTGGGATGAGAAAATTTTGACTTCTGATAAATACTCGATTCCTTTGTATTTCAGGTTTGCAGCACTGTTTACGAAGAGAAGTGTAAGCCGGCCTATAACTACGGACAAACCTGTCAATCAGTTCCAAAACAGTCCTGTCACAACGTAAATACTTGTAAAACAACTCAAACCCAATCCTGCAAGGATATTCCTGAGCAGGAATGTAAAAAAACCTATTCCCAGAAATGTGAAAATATTCCCAAAGAGGTTTGTAAGACGGCCTATACCAAGAAATGTAAAAAGTATCCACAGGATCTTTGTAGTACAACTTTCATAGAAAGCTGTAAGAACATTCCCAAGCAAACTTGTTCTAACGTTAAGAAATGTGTCAAGATTCCAGAAAAACAATGTCGGAAAACATATGAAAAGAAGTGTACCAAAGTTCCCAGTCAATCATGCAAAAAAGTCCCACTGAAAAATTGCTGGAAGGTTGCTATAAAGAAGAATAGGTACGTGAAGAAAAAACAATGTCAGAGCTGCCAAAGAAAAAAGGAAATCTATTATGAAAATAAGGTCCAAAAAACGTGCAAAAGTGTCCCAAGACAAGAGTGCAGAACGCATTATGTCAACGAGTGCAAGAATTTTCCATACAAACAATGCAATATAGCGTACAAGGATAAATGCTGGAATGAACGGAAATGTAAAACTGAATACAAAACAAAATGTGTTGAAGTTCCGAGTTATGGAGCTCCGAAGAAAAATTGTGAAAAAATCCCTCACCAAAAATGCCAAGACGTAAAAAAGTGTTCGAAAGAACCCTTCGAGGACTGTTCAACAAAATACAAAAACAAATGTAAGAAGGTTCCGAAAGAAACATGTTCTGAGGTCAACGATAAAAAGTGTGAAAATCACACTTTACGTGTACCTAAAACAAAAATAAATAAAAGTTGTCACTGGCCAGCTCACCGAGATGAAGATAAGTTTTGTGTACGAAGATCGGATCTAGATATTTTACTTGACGAATCCACTGAGTATCAAAAAAATTTGGATTACCTAGGGAGAGAGCTGGGAGAAAACATTGATTTTCGGAACGTTTTCCCAGCAGATTATGAGGCTAACCCAGAGTAAACATTTTGTTTTATTTGACTTTAAATATCGACAATAATTTATCAACTGATATTTACATAGACAATACATATCACGCAGATCTAACAGTAAGGTCCTTGACCATGAAATCTATGACTTTTGATCCCAATTTGATTGATTAAACATAAATGTTTCGCTTTTTATTTTACATACTTTTTATCCGGCTAATGTATTTTTAATAATACATAAAACAACTCTGAAAATGTTAAGATTGTTGAGTAATTAAAATTTTTGTAACCACATGCATATAGCCCAGGTTAGCCAAGGTTGGTAACAGTATTATCTTATTGAATGTCCCATTTATAAACCTTTATGATAATAAAGAAAAACATAATCTACATATGTAGCTGGTCCATGGGTGGGCCATTCTTTCATTCTATAAAGTTTATAAATACCTCAACCCACCTTCGACCTTAACCTATTTAACCAAAGCTACCAAAATAAAGTATTCTACAATAAAACGTGTATCGTCTTTGTCTCTTTACTCTTTGTATTTTGAATTTGGAAAAAAATGTGATTGTGAAATTATTAATATGATCTAAAAATATACGTACTCAAACATCCATGCAATCGATAAACATGTAGATTTTGATTCATATCAATTCATTCATTAAAAGAATAACAAAATATCGCTAAACATTTAAACTATCCCTTAAGATTTTCTAATTGTACATCATTTATCGACTTATCTTATTGATTTATAAAAAAAACATAATAAAGTATGTTCATGAAATGCGTGGCAGAATCATGTTGATACTTCTTTTATTTGATCAAATACTATAAATTCTATCTAAACACAGACTTCAATAATTGACCGCGACACATAAACTCTATACCACAGCCAAAATAGTTTTAATCAGGGAAGATAAACGGCAGATTAACTGAATGAATTAAAATTTGAACTTTGGGGATTAAACGATTCTTTAAACATATTGTGGATTCTACTATGAATAGATTTATTTTGATTTTTGGTTGGTTAAGCCAAAAAAGGTAAATAAAAAATACATCAAGCGGAGATCAGGTGGCTCCGGAGGTCATTTCGCGGGGCTCATAGCGGCTCTGCACCCCTACCTCATCCAGCTCGTCAAACTAAATTATATATTCTACGTAAGATTGAATCATAAGTTCTCTTGAAGAACTATTGAGAAGAACAAAAATGTTTTGAATTCTTATACAGTGAAACTCTTAATAACGAATATATTGAAAGAATTCATCAAATGTCGTATTCTTCACTTTCTGATAGTGGAATTAAATTCCATCTATACAAATACTTCAATAATTGACCGCAATATAGTATGGCAACACATAAACTCTATACTTGACCCAAAATAGTTTTAATTAGGGAAGATAAACGGCAGATTAACTGAATGAATTAAAATTTGAACTTTGGGGATTAAACGATTCTTTAAACATATTGTGAATTCTACTATGAAGAGATTTATTTTGATTTTTGGTTGGTTAAGCCAGAAAAGGTAAATAAAAAAATACATCAAGCGGAGATCAGGTGGCTCCGGAGGTCATTTCGCGTGGCTCATAGCGGTTCTGCACCCCTACCTCATCCAGCTCGTCAAAACTTACACGTCAAACTAAATTATATATTCTACGTAAGATTGAATCATAAGTTCTCTTGAAGAACTATTGAGAAGAACAAAAATGTTTTTCTTATATGTTACAGAACATATTTATCTTTCTCATACTTGTTCGTAAAATCAAAGCTAGAGGAGATACGAGGTCACAAATTCGTACCAGTGATGTCACACACATTTTACCTTCTGCCTATTCTGTCTAGTTTGCAGTGCTTACAGCCCAACCCAATGTGACAATGTATACAAGAAAAAGTCCTTGGTAACATAACGCCCAGCCCCAAACATTTAAAAACAACCCAATTTTTACGCGACACATTTTTGTGACGCGTATACTATAAACAGGGGCGGGCCCCCCTGAGGGGGGGCTCTTTTAATATTACATCTGCTTGCCTTTCCCTTCCTCAGGCAATCTACATTCTACATTGCATTGCATTGCACTCACCCAAACTAAAAGATTAAGAAAAGAAAAAAGATATATGTTAATTCACAACAATACCCTTCAAAGCTTTGCATCCATGTTTCTCATTTTGAAAACTGATTATTTTTATTTGTGGTTTCTCTACAAAAGTGACTCGCGCATTTCTTGCTTCAGAAACGATGGAGAAATTACGGTTTCAAAGGTACATCGGACATGCCACTCTATAAATGGAGGGTCACTTGAAATTACGCATGTATTCCATTTAAATACAATTACATCGTATAGAAAATACTTTAAAATCTCACTTTTGCTCTTAACTAAAAAAGTTTTAATAAAAAAGCTTTAATCAATACTGCCTTCAATGTAAATATATATTTGATATTATAATTTATAAAGAAATTATGTATCGATTCTATGAAAATATAGATATTTTTTAGGAACGTTTCCATTTCTATTTTTCATCCCTTGAAGCTTACACCACAGTTTTAAGAGGGATTGTGTCCACTTAAGAAAATTACATAAATAATTTATTAACACTTGTAATATGGAAGTGTGTATATGATCGAATAGTTTACATAGTTAAAAAAGGTGTCAATATTTTTTCAAAACAGGGGTTTTTGAGGGGGGGGCACAATGTTGCCAGAGGGGGGGTACAACATTTTTTTGTGCCCCCCCCTCTACACAATTGCTCTCGTACGCCCCTGTCTATAAAATATACTAAACTATACTATACTAAACTATATACATCTAAATATGTGTGCTAGAGTTCTGGACATTTTCGCACGTTAATTGTTTTTAATTTTTGAAGCTTATTTTTTCAAATTTTGGAAGTTTTGTTGCGATTTTTATATCGGTTGTATTAAGCTTATGTAATTGGGTATTTTGCTATTGGAAATTTTGTTTTTTGGGCGTCCTTACCTAACCCACTCCATAATACGTAATGATCTACCCTGTAAAGTATGTAAACATTTTTAATCCAGAGAAAGAGATATAAAAATACACAATTAAATATTCTATTTTTAGAAATAAACATTTTACCCGCGGTGCATATAATCTTCATGGCGGATTTAATATAATTATGGCAGTACTATACAGGGTGTCCCACGAAACATGACAATTGATAAATAGATATGAATGCGTCTTCCATATACTGTATTGGATATTAAAGGCTTTTTGTAGTTTATTTCGTTAAAAAAATCTGTTGCTTGAATATATATTACTTTTAAATCAATTTTACTGTAACATGACTCCCATATAATATTTTTATTATTGTCTAGCTTTGGTATCAAACAACAAAATTAGGGAAGAAAAAAATTTAAACTATTCACCAACTTTCGTGGGACACCCTGTATATCCGATCTGCTGTTCTTTTTAGTTATCAGCTAGTATCTTTAAAAATGTAAATTAAAATCATTACCCTAGATTTATAAATTTCAGTTAACTAAAGGAATGTCTGCAAATCAATAAGTTTCTATTTTGTTTTCTAATAAATAATGGTCTAATCAGTATTAATGCTTTATGTCTAGAACTGCATAAACAACATAAATCCATGATTTGTGAGCGGTTACTATTGAACCGGTCTGTCTGCATGGTTTGAAGGTTTATGAAACTGTAATTATTCTGGGCCAATTATTCTACCTGTAACCTTAGAATACTGACTACCTCTTGGACCACAGTATAACCAGTCCAGCAGACTATACACTCCTTTCATCATTCTGAGTAAACATAAATAAGAAACAGGAAAAAGATAAAACTCCGTAGTTGCGGCAGTTTCAGCCTTTTTTATATATTTTTAACATACATATTAGCGCCAGAAAGTAGGGTAACCATAAAGGTAATTGATTTTAATGACGACCTATGTCTTCTTGTATACTACGATCTGATGGAAAAACTCAATTTTCTGCATATAATATCGTAGCTAATTCAGGAAATTGCACATTGAAAAAATGCAAATAAGAAGTACGAAAGAAATAAGACCTGGTAAAATCCGTACAGTCGTCGCTTAAATCTAATTCTTTGTCAGGCCTGTAGTGCTATACTGTTTAATATTTAATACATTGATGATTTAATTTTTGGTCTACAATTTTGAAAAATAGAAAAATCTTTGTAAGTCACTAAATCTTCATATTTCGAACAGAAATCCGAACATTTTCTATCCTGTCCTCTCAAGATGCTTCTTTTCCAATGATTTTACTTTTTACAGAAATCTACATCACTTTAAACCGAATCCAGATGTAGTTCCAACAATTTGCCGTAAAATGTTCAGTGCCATACATCAAAATAAAAATGATTAGACTATGATTAGGAAACCTGAAAATACGAATTTAAAAATTATTGAAATGAGACATATTAAAATTTCTTTTGACACTGAAAGGTAGATTTCATTTTAAGCGCGCCAATTTGCTGTACATAAACATTTTGTTTTTATTTTTGAAATGTAAAATGTCGCTTTTAAGTTGAAACATTTTTATTGTTGTTTAACATTCGTTTATATTTGATGGTTGTTCACAGTTTACGGTGCGATGTTCACATTCATTCGACCTCGGATAATGTTTTCATCCGAGACACTGACCTCTCCTGTTGGCAGTACTTTGACAAATTGGCCTCCAAGGACCAGGAGGAAAGAGCTTACTCTGGAGATAAATCTTCATTTGGGGAGGCCAGAGGTCAGAGATGGTTTATTCGGAACAACAGACCACATCGACTTAAAAATGCATTGAAAGAACTGAATGATCTTTTAGTAGAAAACTCGATAATTTTTACTAAATGGAGAAGCAATACCTTGTTTCACTTGATTTTGCAAAACCTTGTGATAATAAGTATTCAGCTCAACAAGTTCGGAGACATCTCAAGGATTAACTTTGATCGGTTTCTAGTCGGGAAGTTTCCAGATCGACCAACAGACATCCTTTTCACAGAGAAGCATCTCGCAATTGTATTCTTGGGTTAGTTTGATATTTTATGGATATATAATTTTTTAAATGAAATGAAATGGATTTTTAGTTTTATTGAAGGTGTAAATAATAGTTTTTTTTTTTAGAAACAAGGCTAACTGTGGTAAGCTTTCTGAAACCTCTGAACTTTAGCAAACCTGGATACTTAAGCCAGGCAGATGTGAGGATAGTTGACTTGACTCTAGCAAGTCCATCCGGAAGAAGAATAGAACGCAAGCTACTTAGTAACCTAGATGAATCCTGTCTACTTGTATGGTGGTCTCTTGGAGACCAGAAGGTGTACCCCTGGGCTCCTCAACTAGAGGTACATTTCATATTATCATGTTTCACAGATAAATGCATTTCTTTATACCATTTTAAACTCATTTCTAGAACCAATTCTTAGTTTAAATTGGGTAGAACAATAAATATATTTAGGAGGTAAATCGAGCCAACCTTCTGGTCTACTCTAGCAATCCAGAGCTTAAATTGTTGGGGTTTAACCGAACACGATCTGAACCAATCCTAGTCAGGTTTCTGTCTGGAAACTCTGTGCACTACATAGCCCAGGTAATCTATTGAACATATTGATCTATAATAAAGTTATATATATATAGCTGGCCAAACGGCACGGCTGGACCAAATTGTCGCATTTTTTTTATAAAAATACATGGGCACTGTTAGTTTACTGCGGCAAATTTTTTTTTCAAAATTCGAAATATGTAAAAAATTGTTATTTTTTTTTATTCCATGGGCAACGTCGCACACCGGGCACTTCAGCTACAGTTACTACAGTGGGAATCGATTATAGAAATACAATGAAGATGATTTTTTTTATTCGATTTATTATTGATTTTTTTATTCGAGTTATTATTGATAATAAGCTTTTTCGAATTACAAGTTTAAAAGAAGTCAAAGGGAAGCTTTTGAAATTGACATCTTTTCTTGACTTCTATGTTTATATGTATCCATGCTGTTTAACAGCTTGATATAAATCAAAATTTAAATCGAAAGTCGTCTTCATTGTATTGATGTAATCGCCTACCACTGTAGTAAAATCAAATGATATCAAGAAAGAAATATTTTTATCAAATTACCTTTTGACCAAAATCCCTTAATTATTCCGGGAGATGATTGACATTTCTACCTTTTTCTGTGAATCTAAAATTTTCTTCCGCCTCCATTCGTAAAGTTATTTTACATAATTATCTCTGATCCATGCACAACTAAAATATGTTTGAACAATCCTGTCACAGAGGTTTATTTGGAGATTTTATTTTCAAGTCTGCAGGAAGAATCTTAAAATATAAGTGATTTTATCTAGATTTTCTTTTATTATTTCCACAGTTTTGAAACTTCTGAGAATCTCAATTTTAAACAGTCATTGTTTTAGAGCCTGAGTGAAAATAGTCCAGAGAATAGAATAGAAAACACAGTTCTCACATTGGAAAAAAATAAACCTATGAAAACTAAGCTTTCCAGGTAAACATAATAATACAACAAAACACGCTTTAAAGGGGCAGACCGGATATGTAAGGAAGTTAAACTGAGTATGCAGTGTTGTTGACAAATTCTTTAGGATTCAATTGAGACATTTAAAACTTTTAAAGACCTGTAAATCCTGAGTTTGAGCGCAAAGTCGATGTTCAAAATCGTACTTTTGGGTGGATATGTTTTTTTAATCATTGAATAACGACAAAATTCTGTTTAGGAACAGGTTGAGAAAATAAAAATTAATTTTTTTCATCGAAGATAAGTAATCTTATCACTTAATAGTTTCTATCTCTTTAATCACAAAGATGGTCTTCAGAGTTTCTGGAATTTTATTATAAAGACGACATTTGACGAATTTGAAAAAACTGCGAACAAATTCATAGAAAACAAGAAATTCAATATAATGATGAAAAAGGAAATAATTAATTCTAACTTCGATTTATTGACAAATTTCTTTTGAGAAAACATCTAATTTTATAGTTTCAATCGAATTTTTACTATATTTTTCGTCGTCGTTATGTGATAATTAAAAAAAAACCGATTCTGAAAACGTACCCACCAAAATTCATGATTTTGAACGTCGACTTTGTGATCAAACTCAGTAATTATACATGTTTTACATGTTTCAAATGTATCCTAAAGAATTTGTCCACAACACTGCATACTCAGTTCAACTACCTAACATAGCCGGTCTGGCCCTTTAAAAAATCAAATCAAATTAAAATTACCAGTTTCACCCTAAGAATATTTCAGGTTTATTTCGGTTCCTTCTCATGTGATTTGCCATGCTCAAATTCCTAAATCTGATATACTACTTCTCGGAACTATTTGTGGAACCATTCTTTCATTTGATCAGGTCAAAATCATTTAATAGTTAAAAAGGAACTAGCTGCTTACTTTTTAAAAATTCTTATTTTCTAATCCTTATATCTGTGCAACCTAATATTCGATATTTAAAATCAAAAATTCTGCAAGATCGAAATATCTATAGTTAACACCAAGTTTAATGTTTACAGTTCCTTTATTAAGATTTGTTAAACCAGTTATATTTCTTCTTTTGAATTTATCTTTATTTTCCGTGAGGAAGATTATTAAACATTTGAGTTATGATAATAATTATACTTTCAGGTTGAAAATAAATTAGAGCATCAAATTAAGATCGGATTCATTCCTGCATGTCTCACCATTTCATCTGAGGGTGCCATCTTCTTTGTGATTAGTGAGAAGGGATTGGTTCAGTGCTTTGATATAGCTCTCAACCATATTCAGCTGGTTAATCTAGGAGAAGGAGAACTAGGTGGACATCTCCTTGATATTGGACAGTATTTTAAGTCTCCAATAATTATAAAGGATGGATGTTGGTCGCAACCTATAAACAAGTTACAAACCTTCTCGCTCCCGATGAGTTTTACTTTTATCTTAGTAAAGGTTCTGGGAGGGCCGCTCGTCACTATTCGTATTTCCTCTGGTGTGCTTGCTGACGGGCCACTAGGGCCTGTCCAGGTAAATACTTTTAAATATATCTTATTATAAAGTTATCAATATTATTAACACGATACATTATATATGAAAGATCCAAACCACAAAAAGGATTTTTGCAGATATTAACTTAAAATTTATTTTTAAAGATATTTTTTTTTGCCCTTTTAGTTCTTATGATAACCAAAATCAATAAAAAAAAACCATATAAAGAATATAAAATTATCAATCGATTTTCGCAGATGTAGATTTCATCCAAGGGTTTTTGGTTTAACGTTATTGTTTAATATCCATAGATTTAGTAGATTTAGATAAATCTATTATAAAGTGTTGTATATCATTCAATCAATGCAATGATTATACCAATAATTCAAACTATTTCTAAATGTTTCAGATTGCTGCTCAATACTTAAAGTTTAATCTTTATCATCATACCTTCCTTTTTCTAAGTCAACTTTCCTGGGTTCATTCAGGTACAACATGTTTTAGTTCTGCCAACATCTATATATATTAAGTTGTAATCTCTGTTTGTCTATCTGTCTGTTTGTTTGTCCGATCATAACTCAGGAACTCCTTTGACCGATTTGCTCAAATTTTGACTGGGGAACTCTGGAGACCCACGGAAATGTTCTGAGCTTGGTTTTGAGATTCTAAGTTGAGTCGGTCAACTTTTAACGGAGAAAAAAACTAAAATCGCAATTTACGACAAGTGGCGGGTAAACGGTGGGAGTAACTATGACTCCCCTGGGCCACGTCGGGTTCCCAAGCTTGTTTTTTATGAAGGTTTTATATTTTTTAAGCATAAGAATCACAATCTTAGTGTTTTATCCTTATCCATTTTTGAGCCTTTGCCACAATCTCAGATTTTCTAATCCCATATCTTTGTATTAGATCTTACAAAGTTCATAGTTTGAAATATCTAAGGTATACGACATCGGGTTGCAAAGATTTAGGGATTAGAAAATTAGAATTTGTGACAAAGACTCAATTCTTTACAGGGGGTCAATTTACATCAAGGATTTTTTTTCTCAAGATTTTGTAAAGCTAAGAAATTGTACTTTTAATGTTGTTTACCATTTCGGAATAGAGATAAGTTAGAAGTGTTGCATTGCCTTGGGGGTTGGAAAGGTATGGTAACAGTTCGCCCAATCACATTTCACTCACAACGTTTCATCCAATTTTAGGTGAAATAACGTTTCACCCAATTTTAAGTGAAATAACTTTTCACCCAATAACGTTTCACCCAATTCACGTTTCACCCAAATTACGATTCACCCAACTCACATTTCGCCCAAATTACATCTACTTAAGAGTTTCACCCAATTTTTTTTTTCCTCTAACATACATTGCACATGAATTTATTGCCCAATTTCCGATCATAGCTCATAAACTTCTGGACCGATTTGCCTCAAATTTTGATTTGGGAAATCAGGAGAAGCTGGGAATCCTCTAAGATTGGATTAAAAATTCTAATTTGAGTGGGTCGACTCATATATACAAACAAAACTGGGTTCCCGAGCTAAACAGATATATTAATGCATATTGATGTAAATCTGCAACTTTTGTGCTTGAAATCTGCATCCACATTTGAGCTCAACAGGGCGGCGCAGTTATATGTAGCTAATTCCATAAATGTTCAAAACGGAGGATAGCTTGGCCAGAACCAAGCTACAAGAGCTGGTTAAAGTCAAACGTGCTGACCCAAAGCGATCTAGAACTGAACGTCGGTCAGTCCGCGGATGGAAAATCTTAAGGTTGCACTCCAAACCTTCAATCCCAACTTCATCAAGGAGTTCATGTTTTGACTCCAAAAGAATGCCTAACTTGAGCAGTACTAGAATAGAATATCAACTGCACTGTCCTTATGTATACAAATTTTTATAAATTCAAAGATAAAATTTTTATAAATTCAAAATAAAATTGGTAAGAAATTTTTTTTTTGGGTGGGGGGGGTGAAACTCTTTGGGTGAAACGTGAAGTGGGTGAATGTTGTATTGGGTCAAACGTTTCTGGTAAAACGTTATTGAGTGAAATGTGATTGGGCGAACTGTTATTACACCGTTGGAAAGTCTAATTCACATATTTAATCCGCAGCGTTCGAGAATTTGGATTACATGTATTCATTTAAACCCTTTATTGCAGGAGACGCCTTATTAAAATGTGTAACTCTTGCGTTCAACAGTTTGCTAAGACAGGGTTATAGTAAAGAGATGGAATCCTTGGTAGAAACCTGCTTAGGGATATATTTTAACCCTAACAAAACAATCTTAGAAGAAAAAAGGTGATTTTTTAATTCCAAAATTCATAAAAACTGTTTTTCTAGTTTCTAGTCAAGTGGATTTACCGGTTCTGTCAATATTCCTGAAAGCTGTGACTTTCGATCACAATTTGATCCATTAAACACAATTTGACCCATTAAACACAATTTGACCCATTAAACACAATTTGACCCATTAAACACAATTTTTTAGCCTTTCTTCTTAAATACTTTTTTGTTGGCATATGCATTTTGAATAAAAAAGGTATAAAATAAACAAATCCCTATAAAGTAAATGATTATTGAATAAAAGACCAAAACACGTTTGATTTCAAATAGAAGCAACCGAATGCTGCACACTCTGGTTAGTCCGGTGTGTAGTGCTATTCTTTAGCTTTAGTTTTCTAAATAGAACATTAAACAAAGATAAACACTTAGAATGAAAAAAGTTTTTCAAATAAAACCAATTTCTTTTTCTCTCACTTAGGGAAGAATATGCTGATAATATCAAGGATCTCTCCAGACGATTCTGCAGTCAACTTATCCGTCATCATCAGCTAGTTAAAGGTTTTATGCTTATCCTAATATCAAGTTCACGCTTAATATAATTATTTATAGATCCTAAAGGAGTTGAGTTTTCGCCACAAGCTTTAATTTTTAATCCCATGGTCTTTGCAACCCAATGTTTGACACCTTAGATATTTCAAACTATGAATTCTGTTTGATCAAATAATCTAAGTTTGAAATATCAAAGGTTTGAAGATAATAGGGATTAGCAAATTTGAATTTGGGGGAAAAAGTGAGTTCCTTTATGTAATCAAACTTTTTTTGTTCTGTCGAAATTTGATTTACAAGATTATTTTTAATTTTTTAGGATTTCAGTTGGCAATAGATTTGAACGATTACGATTTATTTATCGATGTACATCATGCTGCGAAGAAAAGGGGATTAGTAGATCTGGCCCAGGTAAAAATATCAGACTTTTTGCTTTTATCCAAACAAATCAATTTTGTTTTAGGCTGCACTGATTAAAGCAGAAGCTTACTACAACAAATATAGTTCTGAACCTCAATCAAGAAGTGCCTCAAGTCAATCCTATCGATCTCCCTTCCAGCTAGTTACAGGTTACATTATAGTAACATTAAACATTGAAAACATCATAAAAGAACTGATCAAAATTGTTTTATTCCGATTTTATTGCACCATGATATCAAAATTGGACAATATTTCAAACTTTGAATATATGAGCTATAAAATATTAAAGGTTTAGTTTCATGTTCATGTTGCAAAGATATAGGGTTGATACAAATAGAGTTGAAGGTGAGCAATCGCTTTCTTTTTAATATTTATGTTGTTTAGAACAGGCAAACATCAATTTGGAAGTTTATTTTTATTTAGAAAAAGGTCAAAATATGAATATTTTTTCGAACATTACTGCATAGTTCATCTATCTATCCAAACTAGAGATTGGATGCTTGAATAAAAAACTGGGCATAACGTGTTTTAAAATTGTTGTTCGTAATTGTTTATGTTTTACATAACATGGTTTTATGAACCCAGAAATATGTAAATAAATTATACACCTAGGAGAACTTATGCAGCCGGGCCAGGAAGCTAAATACCTGATTACAACCGCAGCTAAGAAGATTAACACAAACCAGTTTAGGTAAGCTTGACTTAAAAAGATGGTATGTTAGGACCTTTTCACAATTTTGCTTAACTCGATGCTTGTTTCATTTGTGTTAAATATATTATTAAATTTGTATCTTTCCTTCCACTTAATGAAGGAAATTCAATTCCAATTACCTTGTGTCAAAAACGAGGTTCGTTTAAACCAAGTTAGATTTCTCAGGCTTTTAGGAAATTGAATCATTCTAAATCCCACAAGTGAATTAGTTTGTCTCCAACACAAAAAATATATTTATATAATTTTAAAACACATTTTCCTTCACTTTTTAAACAAGGGGTCAAAAAACAATTATATGTTTAATTAGAACAAGTGATGAAGAGTACTTGAGAGAATCACGTTTTAGAAATGAACATTTTATCCCATTGGATTATCCTCCGACACAGGTACTTTATAAAGTTTAAAGGTA